GACGTTTTCAAGGCAAGGTCAGGGGAGGAAGAGGGCGAAAGAGCGGGGGAGGGAAAGGGGAAAAAATCAGGGGAAAGAAGCCATTCCGCCAGGTTTCCTCTTAACGCGCCTCCAGTAACGACTTTCACCTGTCCATTCTCTTCCCCTCCGCTCCCCCCCTCCCCTCCCCTCCCGACATCCCGTCTTCCACTGTTTTGCGCATCATCAAGCCAATGTGCCATAAATCATAACGCCATGAAAAATGTCACAAATGTGTCCGCAATTTGCTTTTCTTCGACCAAAAAACCCAGACGAATGTGTCCGCAAATCGACGCTAATATTCTAGACGCAGATAACGTTACTAATATGTCCGCAAATACATAAGTTAAAGCTCAAGGCCCAAATTGCGGGCCGCGCGAGGCAAGTTTAGTAAGGTTGATCGAGTGCTGCTTTGCAGCTTTAGCTGGGCGAATTGTGGTTACGAAATGTACGAAGCTATCTGATTGGCCAGAACATTTGAGTCAGCGAATGGAACAGGTGGTGCGGGAAACTGGCAAGAGTAATATTTGTGCAATATGGGACTCGCGCAACCAAACCTGAGCGTCCCCTAGGCTTTGCTGAGTCAGCGAATTTTGTTTTGAGTGTGGCGAGAAGCTGGGCGAAACCAAACCCCTACACCCCTCAAACACCTCGACTTTCCTACTCTGCTTTCCCACCACCCAAGGGTCAACTTTAGTAATCCTGAACAATTTGGGCCTTGAGCTTTAAAGAATCGACAGCTGTTACCACTGCTGACGAAAGATCAGTACCGTGCCAACATTTGACACTAGCAGTTACCGCACTAGATGTGTGAAGCGGCGAACACTGAAGTACGCCTGAAGCGCTGAGGATTAACTTGAAGTTGCGGGAACAAAACTAAGAGGGTCCAAGTAATAATGTCTACCGCTTCTGCTACTGACACTAACGAAAATCAGTAAGCGACGGAACAAGATATACGGTAATGGGAGTGCTTATCCTCGGCGCGTTGATCTGACGGAACTAGCTACTAGAACTAGCTACCTGGCGCGTTGATACTGACGGGTGAGAAGCATAAGATATGGCAATTGAGGTGAGAAATTGTATGGTTGGGGTTGTTGATATGCCTTGGTGGTTGAGGGAGACACATTCGATGCTGCCGTTAAAAAGCCTTCATCCCTATTGGCTTGCGCAGATCCCTTTTAGGATCACATTTGTATTTTCAGCTGCCCAAGTCAGGTTCGGAGGGGCCAAATAAATTGTGAAAAAAACCTAGACTTCCCGCGCCACGCAGAAATTCCCTGCCTAACCTTCCGCCGTCCCGCACCTTACGCCAAACTCACGCAAATACTAGATATTATTTTTAAAAGCGCCACGTCCACCACCTCCTTGAAAGTTCAACCCTGCCCTAGCCCATACCTGCAGCCCTCAACCAGCCTCTCCAAAGCAATACGCGCCCTCAGCATATTCGTTTGCAGAAAGAGCAACACAAACCATAAATTTAAAATGAACCAGTTTGTGAAAGGGATGTACATACAGGGCTGGTTGGGTTCGGCTCGTCAGAAGTTTGGGTCACCTCACATTGCCAAACCATGCGGCTCGGTTTGTTCTGTCAAGCCGACAAAGCTGTCAATGCAACTTCTAGGCGGCGATTTTGAATTCGCCACTGTAGGGTTGACCCATTCTGACAGCCGCTTTACGGCGTTGACCCACATTTGGTTTGGAACTGCACTGTTTCGCGCCGTGGCGCCGCTAAACAACAGACTCTCCAGTTCTGGTTGGATTGAATTCTTTCATCCGCGGCACGGAACCATGCTTCGTCCTCCTCACTCACTCGACTCACTTCTGCTCCTGTAAAGTCCCATTCATGGCGTTCATTTTCAGTTTCTTCCTTCGCGAATTCAACGAAGGACTTCCAGTAAAGCTCCTACTTACTGGCTCAATTTGGACTTCAGGCTCGTCGAGCATATCCTATCTGAAGCTACCTGGCTAGTGAATGGGGAAGGCCTAGGCATGCGGCAGCGTGAGGTCGTGTAGATTAGAGTCTCGTGTAGATTAGAGTGGGTGGGGTGGGTTGGGTAGATTAGAGTCGAGTCTGAGCGAGCTGCCAAGTGCCTAAGGCTGAACCTTTTACAAAACCGGGTTTTCGCGGTTCACCGCGACGAATTCAAGATATCACCGCAACATCTGCATGGCGGGATCTTCTCTGCCAAATACTTCCACAGCGATATCTTCGCGGCGAGATCTTGATGGTGAAACCACTCCGCTCCAAGGTCGCTGCTGCAAGAGCTTCAAGAGCTTCAGGTGTCGCATGGAGCTTCCCCTGCTGGCGCGGCCTTCCTCTTCGCTTCCGTCAAGACAAGTCTCACCAGACGGTAAGTCCTTTTTTCTTTTCAACTTCTTGCTGCACCTGCTTTAAATTATTCAACATTGTTCAGCTGCTAATCTGTTGTTTTCCTCCCGCAGACCTCTTGGCAACCATCTTCGCGAGACTCGCAGCGCCGACAATGAGACTTGAGCCGTCTACGACACCCGGTTTTTATGAAGCTCTTCACCCGCAAGATCTTCAAGCCAAGATCTTCACTCCAAGATCTTCACTCCAAGATTTTTACGCCAAGATCTTCACTTCAAAATCTTCACCCGCTAGATCTTCACCAGCACGAAGAGCACCCAGCTAGACGGAGAGGGTAAGTCCAGTTTTTTCAACTTCTTGCTGCAACCGATTTTGGAAAGTTAAGCTCTGATTGGTCCAACATAGTTCAAGTCCTAATCTGTTTTTTTCCTCCCGCAGACCTCTTGAAGTGCCAACGCCAATACTTAAAGTGCGGACGCTGACACTTGAGCTGTCTACAAGACCGGTTTCATCGCGACACGGCGACAATTTCAGGCTCAGATCTGACCCAATCTTCACACCAACACGAAGACGGCGGACTGGAGGTTAGTGTAACCTTCTTTCAACTTGTTTCGGTTAATTTTATAAGCTGTTCCACATTGTTCAAGTACTGAGCTGCTGCTTTCTTCCCGCAGACCTCGTGGCGACCGTCTTGGCGAGTCTTGAAGTGCCGACACTCACACTTGAGCCGTCTACAACACCGGGATCACCGCGACACGGCGACAATTCCAGGCTCCGACCGCAAGATCTGACCCTCGCGCCAACACGAAGATGGCCTACCTAGACAAATAGCGGACTGGAGGTAAGTGCAACACCGATCATTCGACTTCTGCAATCTCTTTCTGCAATTCCTCGTGTTTCCGAGCAAATCTCTAACTCGCTCTACGTACTTCTGTAGATGACCTTCTTATCGCTATCCATCGCGAAGGGCTGCACTTTAAACTTAAAGACCTGAAACTCAAGTACACCTGGACTGCGGGAGGCGCTTCAGACCCCAAGTCAAGCCGGACGCGGATAGGAGCTTCGACCGCCGTTGGCGCTTCGACCTGAAAGCGCCAACGGGCATCTCGCCAACTATCGTCGCCGATGGCGCTTCGACCGTTGCCAACGGATCCTTGTCGTTCGGGTTGGAGTAAGCTCTAACTTTGCTTCGTCTTCTCAGTTGACTAGAGTCAGCTTCTCGTTTCCTAAGTTCTCTGGATTTAATTCGGCTTCGACCATCCTTTCGACCATCTTGGCTACGCGAAGACTTATCAACCGCGGAGGCTTCAATCGCGTTAGGGCCGCGAAGGCTTCAACCGCGGAGGCTTCAACCGCGAAGACTACCTTTTGGACGTCAAGTGTGGAGGTAAGGACTACCTTTTCTTCATATCAGCTCAGAATCGTTCGACTTCCTTTGAAATCCTTTTCACCTTCTAACTCGCTCTTCTTGCCTTTCTGCAGACGACCTTCTTATCAAGCTAAACGGCGTTTCTGGTCGGGGAGGCGCTTCTATGCGCTTCGAGCTCCGGACGGGACGCGCTCAAGCCCAACATGCAGCCCAAGTGATGATTGTCACCATCATCGCTGGAGCTCCGTTGCCTTCAAGTCGCCGTTGGAGCTTCAAGTCACCATTACTGCAAGTCGCGAGGCCTCACCAACGGATCCGTGTCGTCCTTGCCGTTACCATCGCCGTTGGCGCGAGCTCCGGATGCAAGTCGCGAGGCTTCGCGGGTGAAGGTCGCCACTCGCGGATCATTGTCGTTGGTGGGGGTGAGTGGTTCTAAGTTTACTTCATTGGCGCATTGGCGTTGCGGGAGACGCCGACGAGATTTGTGACGAGATGCCGCGTTCGGGTCCGGGTCCGCGTTCGCCAATGGATGATCGATCATCGTTCGGGTCCGGGTGAGTGAAGTTAACTTCCCGTTATGCTGCCTTTCCCGTTGTGAAATTAACTTCTCGTCATTCTCAGTACTAACGTGCTGCCTTTAGTCCCTGCAGACCTCGGCGACCGTCTTGGCGAAATAAGACGAAGGCTGTACCGCCGTTGGAGGAGAGGTATCTACCCGGCGAGGAGGTCTCACGTCGCGAGGGGACGGCGAGGAGGACTCTACCGACGCGAGGGGACGGCGACGGCCTACCAGCAGCCTCGCTCGAGCAGCTGAGGTAACGTCTTAGGACCCTTCATGCAGTAGTGGCAATTCAGTTCTAACGTGTCGGTTTGCTTCCTGCAGAAACAAATGGTGACGGATGACGGCGCATGGCGACGGGCGGGACTCACGGCGCTTGGCGGCGCTTGGCAGCGACGATGCCTCACTCTATGTCGCAAGCGGACGGCGACGTCGCACGCGGACGGCGACGTCGCAAGCGGACGGCGACGTCGCAAGGGACGGCGTCGATGGCGTGTCTCATTTCGTCCGTCGCCGACAGTAGCGGGATCTGTCCAAGATTCGCTACTAGTAGCGTCCCCGCTCGAGCTGAGGTAACGTGTTCTTTCTGAACGGTTTCTGAAACGCTTCGATTCGATTTATTCTTGTTCTTATTCGTTCTGAATGGTTTCGTTTCGCTCGTACTGACGATTCTTATTCGTACTTGCAGAGGCACGGGACGGTCCGCCGCGGACGGATGGCGACGCATGGGGACGCGCAGCGTGGCGTTGTTTGCATGCCGAGGAATGGCGCACGGCGATGCTCCTTCGGGAGGGACTTACGGGCGCACGGCGTGTCTCGCGGCGAAGGCGCGTCTCACGGGCCGCGAAGGCGCGTCTCACGGGCGAAGGCGTGTCCCGCGGGCCACGGCGCGTCTCGCGGACCAAGGCGGGACTCACTGCGCTTGGCGGCGCTTCTGCCTTGGCGGTGTCGTTTTTCGTCTCGTTGCCGCATTTCATTTCGTCGGTTTCGCATTTCTTTTCGTCAGTCTCCTCTCTGCCGTGATGCCATGACGTGTGGTACCGCCATGTGCGCAGCGTTTCAAAGTCTGCGGGGTTGTGCGAGCGGGATTGGGGCAGGGTGGCGGCGGAGGGGAAGGGTAGCCCCAGCCCGTACCTCTCCGCCCCCCCTCCCGCTCCACTGCCCCACCCGACAACGACTACATCGACCTCCTTCTGCAACGACTACAACGGTAAAAGCTCGAGAGGCTTTCACGGTAAGAACCGTTTAATTCCGTTTTGCTGCTTCCTTTTCCGTATATCTAACGCCTTTGTCGTGTTCCTCTAAGTGCAGCAGGAGGAGCAGGCAACACCGCAGCAACTACAGCGAGTAAGGGAGGTAAAGGAGAGCTAGCTCTCCCTCTCCTCTTCTCTGGTAAGTTTCGTCAATTTCTGTTAAGTTTTTTCTTCGTTCATGAATCTAACTTTATTCTGTCTGCTCCTCTCTCTTAGCGCAGCGTCAGAGGCGGGAGCTCGCGGGGACGGCGGCGAGCAACGGAGGTAACGGGGGGAGGTTCGCTCTTGCCTGGTAAGTGCAGTCTAATTCCGTTAAGTTTTTTCCTTGATTATGAAACTAATTTCTATCTGTGTGTTCCTTTCTCTTAGCGCAGCGGAAGCGGGAGTGGGGACTCGCGAGGACGGCGGAGGTAACGGGGGGAGGGTTCTCCCTTGCCTGGTAAGTGCAGTCTAATTCCGTTTAGTTTTTTCCTTGATTATGAAACTCATTTCTATCTGTGTGTTCCTTTCTCTTATCGCAGCGGAAGCGGGAGTGGGGACTCGCAGGGACGGCGGCGAGCAATGGAGGTAACGGGGGGAGGTTCTCCCTTGCCTGGTAAGTGCAGTCTAATTCCGTTGAGTTTTTTCCTTGATTATGAAACTAATTTCTATCTGTGTGTTCCTTTCTCTAAGCGCAGCGGAAGCGGGAGTGGGAGGGAGCTCGCGGCGACGCATCTTCGGGGGCGTCTCACGGGCGCGCGGCGGGGCATCGGAGCACGGCGCAGCGCGGCGCATCGGAGCACGGCGCAGCGCGGCGCATCGGAGCGCGGCGCATCGGAGTACGGCGCTTGGTGGCGCTTCTCTCTGCTGTTCGTCCCGTCGTCGCGTTTCTGCTCGTCAATTTTCCGCTCCTCTCCGCCTTGGTGCCGTGACGTGTGGCATCGCCATGTGTGGGCAGTGTTTCAAGAACTCAAGCAAGACAAGAAGCGTCGGGGTTGTGCGAGCAGGGCGGCGGAGGGGGAAGGGTAGCCCCAGCCCATTCCCTCTCCGCCCACCTCCCGCTGCACTGCCCCATCCGGCGACAACGACTACATCGACCGTCCCCAGCGACGGCAAACGGCAACGACGGTAAAAGCCGCTTTCACGGTAAGAATCGTCTGATTCCGTTTTGCTGATTCTTTTACCGTTTATCTAATGCCTTTTCGTGTTACTCATAGTGCAGCGGGAGCAGCTTGGAGCCACATTAGCAGCAAGACGGAAGCTAAAAGCTTACTAATCTCCTATTTAGTTGTCGTCTGTGGTGCAGGAAATCAAGTCTCGAGGCAGGCTACACACGCATCGGGCGTGGAGCGGGGAGAAGCTGGAGCGCGGAGCTGGAGCGATGAGCTGGAGCGCGGAGAAAGGAGCGAGGGGGAGCCGGAGCGCGGAGCAAGGAGCGAGGCGGGAATCTGATTTCCCCCTCTCGTCCCGCCCTTCCCCGCAGATTTGGCGGGAGGGAGCAGAGCACCCCGGCATGGTATTGTGAGTTGGTTCGAAGGTGTTTTGGTGGTTACAGATCGTTAGGAGCGTGTTAGCCTAGGCACTCGATTTAGGCACACACATGGGGAATGGTATGGGTTCAGGTGTGTTCAGGTATGCCTCTTGACGGCTGGCCGTCCTCTTGACGTCTGGCTGTCATTCTGACAACATTCTGACAACAACCAATGGGGAACCTATCGTCCTACCCGAGGTGTTTATTTTCATCTGCCCGTTACTAATTTTGACCGTTCCCCCCCCTCCCAAGCACTTTCCCCCCCTCCCTCCCTCCCTCCCTCCCTCCCAAGCAGGCCCCACGCGAATGACCCTCACCTCATCGTGGTGCGTGGGTGTAACGTCAGGGGCATTTGCCTCTGACGGCCAAGAGGGGTCAAGAAGACTTTCAAGCTGCTCTGGAGGCGGAAGGGAATCAAGCTTATGGTCGAGCTGCTATGGAGTCGCTGCTGTGGAGTCGCGAGTGGAGCTGTTACAACCTGGCTTTGGCAGCTGAGAAAGCTTAGCTTAGAAAACTCTCTCTTCTGACTTGTAACTCTTTATATTACTATGAAACTCTCCGAAGGCCTTGTACTGTTAACAATTAAAATAGGTAGGTGAAGCATATGGCTGAAATAGCTACTGAAATAGCCAGATTGCTAGAATATGGAAGTTACGCTGTTCGTAGTTCGAGAGTCCAGACTCTGCGTCTCTGCGTCGTAGTTAGCTCCTCTGCGTCTCAGCAGCAACCATTCGCATTGCTGGACATTCGTATTCTCGATCGTCTGGACCTGAGTAAGACTCTTTTCAAGCTATCGCTTGACTTGACTGGCTTCGTGCGAAGATAACCTCGACCTGTGCAGCTTACGGTACATCCCAGAGTGTTATCGCGGTACATCTGAAATAGTTACCGCCAGAAAGAGTTACGACACGGCGGTTGAGTGCCAATCAGTTCCGTCGTGCGGCGGAGCGATCTCGATGGAGCAGCACCCGCGCGGACGGCTGCTGAAGCAGCAGCTGCAGCTGGTGGGAGCGCAAGGAGATCGCGGTGATCCCGGAAACCCCATCCTTCGAGAAGGGTTTCTTTCTGTTCATCCGAGCCGTGCAGCTGCTGACTCAGGTGACCCCTCGAAATGCAGCCCAGATATGCTTGGTTCAGTACAGAATACGGATACAACTGAGTGGTTTTGAAGGCTCGACGGAGGTCATATACTGATATCGACGGTGGTCAGCTGATGAGGATCGACAGTGATCGTAGATCATGCGCATTCGTAGAGTCTCGTTCCTATCCTTTTGGAAAGAGTGCACGATGATGCGCAATGTTTAGCGCAACGATCAGCGTCACGACGCAACTATCAGCGCAACGATCAGCGCAGTATCTGCGCAACGGTAGCACAGAGATCAGCACAGTTTACAGCGCAACTAATAGCGCAAGCAGCGGAACGGTCAGCGCAGCGATCAACCCAACGATCAGCGCAACCATCGGCGGACTGCGATCCGCAGAACGCTTGGCGCAACTGTCAGCGCAGCAACCAGCGCAACGATCAGCGCTACTGCAAGCTCAAGGATCCGCGGACCTCATCAAGACAAGCAGGCGCTGCAGCGACTCACCGAGGCCGCCGAGAAGGCCAGTCGTCCATCAGGTAGGCCTACCGCCGGATGTGTTTAGATGTCTTCTTATTTCCGGGACGCATGGTTGAGCTGTAAGGGTTTGGGATTCCGAAAGTGGAAAAATCAAGGGGCAGGAATATCTGACATCTGAGCTGTGGACCTTCAATTCATGTGATTCTCACCATCTTCACCTCCCTGTATGCTTCCTTCCCACACGCCTCCTCCCCACAGTCTCCCTCCCTTCTCCCACAGGCCGCTCCTTTCCTGGTGGACGCCCAAATGATGCCTCTCATGGTGGACGGACCCCCACTATCAGCCTCATAGTTCTAGCATCCTCTTCTTCCTCTCCCACCATACCTTCTTCCGTCATTTCTCTTTCCCTCAGGGCGCCCCTTTCCTGGAAGACGCACAGATGATGCCTCTAATGCAGCTGATGCAAGGCGAGATAGATGCGAAGGGAAAACTGCGGAAGGAGGAAGCATTGGGTGGAATTCAATGGGCGCAGTAGGAGCGGGGGTAGTGGTGGGTTGCCTGGGGGGACGAAGCCGATGACCTGGAGATGTCTTTTGTGCTCGTGATGAACGCAGCCGATGCACGACGAATAGGAAGGGAGGGGAGGAGGGAGGAGGGAGCAAGAAGGAGGGAGGGGGGAGCAGGAGTAAGGCCAGCAGTGCTGGTTGCCGGGGGACGACGCGCATGACCTGGAGATGTCTTCTGTGCTCGTGACGAACGCAGCCGATGCAGGGCGATAGAGGGGGGAGGGAGGAGAGGGGGGGAGGAGAGGAGGGGAGGGGGAGACACGAAGAGGGTGGGTTGCCTGGGCTAGGGGGACGACGCGCATGACCTGGAGAACGCAGCCGATGCACGGCGATAGAGGCGAGGGGAGTAGGAAGGGAGGTAGATGCGCAGGGGGGGATGCAGCAGTGGTGCATGCCTGGGCGACCGGTCCTCGTAACCTGGAGATCTCTTCCCTGCTTGTGATGAATGCAGCTGATGCACGGCGATAGTGGGGAGAGGAATTGGATGGAAAGCGGACGAGTGAAACCGAATAGGAGCAAGATCAAGGGAGCAGAGAGGCAGCCAGGATGGAAGGAGGGGGAGCAGGATAAAGGGCAGTACTGGGGTACCTTGTTTTTGCTGGGTCACTTTGAAAAACAAAATATGGCGTAGAAACGACCACTGCAGCATCTCGGAAGGAGTCGCAGTAGCACTGGGTTTGCTGAGAATGACCCTTCCTGTGGGCTGGACGGGATGCCTTTTCTTGAGGCGCCTCAGATATGACACGAGTCAGAGTTGTGCTGTGCCCCATATGACATGCCCCCCCCCCCCCCTCCTCCTCCCTTCCCCCATGGCTTGGAGTGGAGGAGACGCCTTCTTTCGATGCATCTCAGGAGTAGGCTCTGCTGCTGCTGTCCCAGCGGACATTTTAGTCAACTCAAAAGTATCTCTGCTGCTGATGTCCCAGCGGTCGCTGGGCCGATTAAGACTTGGATGCGGTTGGCGCCTTTGGTGGTGGTTGTGACTTCTACAGAACAAGGAGATGGAGGCGGGTGCGATTGAGAGATTATGACATCTCAGAATCATGAGTGGTTATTGCAAGCCAGCACAGCACATATTGCCAGATAGAAAGAGCGTGTGTAGTATCAACTCTAGGTATTCCGCTGACCAGGAGTGCACAGCAGCCGAGCACTAATCGTGTAAGAATAAGCAAGCAGCTGTGAGGCGTGCATGCATATTGCTGGCATCATTAGTATTGCCCATGTATGTCATGGGAGGGTGCTACCTGTACCTGTATTATATTCCTGTATCGTTTTGAGTTATGGTACTGGCACTGATGAGAAGGTGTTTCAAGCACATCAAAACCCAACTTCAGCATGCCATGCCATGCCATGCGATGCCATGCCATGCCATGGCATGTGATACCATGCAATGCCATGTGATGCCATCATTGCCATGCCATGGCTTCATGTTTTTGGAATTGCTTTCGAGAACACAGAACGAGGCAAACTTTGAGGCATGGCCACACAATCACACCAAGTGGGAATGGCCTGCTAAGCATGGCCACACTCCTCTGGAGAAAGGCTGGAAACAGAAACTTGTGGACACTGACCTATACAGGTATTGCGACTCTTGCTTGCCCCTACACCAGTAGGGGTACCACCAAACATCCCTACCACATACCCAATGCTTCTGGAAGAAGCAGCAGAGACATCTAAGGAACTGTTGATGTCCATGACAGTTCGAGAAGAATTCCCGTGATCAGCAATACCAATTCCTCTAGCACTGTCCACTAGTGTCCTGCAATCTCTAGGTTTCAGTTGGTAGGTTTCAGTTTTGCCAGCAATGTCTACTAACACCCCAGACCCCCCTTGGCGGTAGGCTCCTATCTCAGACAAGCCATCCAGCCGTTGGATCGACTCGGCCCGCCTGTCGAGCTCCTGGTCGATCTGAGCCACACGATGGTCCACGTCAGCAAGATCACCGTCACCACCATCCTCCACGTGGCTCCTGCTGAGGTGTTCCTTCTTTAGGGTTTCGAGTTGCCGAACGACGTCAGAGATTGATGGGCGGGAGGAGGGCGGGAGGGCGGTGCACTCTAGGCCGATTCTGGCGAGCGCGAGGAGAAGGTCGCTGGAAGCTTCCGGAAGGCGGGGGTCCTTAAATGCTGCCACGTCATTCTCCTCAACGAACGGGCGAATCTGCGTGGGGAGAGGGTTGGGAATGAAAGAAAAGGGGCGGGCTTGGAAGAAACACGGAGGTGCAGGTAAGGGGGTCTGCAGGAGCACTTGTCTCCTCAACGAACGAGCAAATCTTCGTGGCAAGAGGGACAGGACAGCAAGGAACAAGGAGGTGCAAACAAGCAAAGGGGTGTTGCCCTCCTCCATCAAGGCAACTTTTGAGGTGCTTCAAAGCCGTCTTTTGACTTTTCAGGCGCCTCAAAACTCTTCTACAAAAAGACACTCCTAAAATCACAACAAAAATAGGAATAGTAAAAAAAAAAAAAAAACACTTGAAACTCGTTTCAACTTCGAGGCACATGAAAGAACGTTGCGGTACCCCGTATCCACCTACCCAGTCTTTGATGTTGTACTCGTTGCCATCCACTGAGAGGATGACAGGAATTGTTGTAATCACTTCTAGCAGCATCACACCGTAACTGCACAAACAGCAAGAACAAAAGGAGCGTTCAAGAAAAGTTAGGATGGATGGAAGCGTTGCTCCTTTGATGAGAGAAGCACATCCTAAGAAAAACCAGATGATGAGAAAGCGGATCACTCTTTCATGGAAGTGTATAAAGGACAACTCTTTCTTGGAAAGGGCAACACACCAATGCACGTCAGCCATGGGCGTGGCCTTGTTGGTGCGCGAGTAAGCGGGGTCCACATAGCCCGGAGTGCCGACCACTCGGGTGGGATTCACTGTGGTGCCTTCTGTCATGCGCACCAGCCCAAAGTCTGACACCTTCGCCTGGTGGTAGGGGGTGGGGCAAAGGAGCAGGAGAGCACATCAGGTGCCTTCTGACATGCGCACCAGCCCGAAATCTGACACCTTCGCCTGGTGGTAGGGGGTGGGGCAAAGGAGCAGGAGAGCACATCAGGTGCCTTCTGACATGCGCACCAGCCTGAAATCTGACACCTTAGCCTGGTGAAGGGATGAGAGATGAAACACACAAAGGTTGCTGTCACGCGCACCAGCCCGAATTCTGATACCTTCCGCTGTGGTAGGGGGCGGTGGGTAGAGGGATGATTTGAGAAGTCACATCAGGTCTGTCGTGCGCTCCAGCCCAGATTCTCATACTGTCGCCTGGTGTGGTGGAAAGGAGAATGGAATGAGGGACAAAACGGCATACCATCATTTGTGTGGTTAACAAAATTAAACCGTTCAGACATGAACGACATGGAGTCTCCATCACCTCGATGAACAGGGTCCATAAGCCTCAATACAGACATGGGTGTTTGGAATGCCGCTCAAACACACCAACGTGCTGATGACGTTGGCACTAAGTGTAAGTGCGTTACTTCACGTTATATTTCGTATTGAGTGTGAAGTTAAAACATTTGTATTAGTTGTAAGTGCTGTCTCAGGTCCCTTGCCCGTCGCACTCGCATGAGGGCATTAAGCAGCACGTTGGCGGGCTTGATGTCTCCAACCCCTGCAACACCCTCCCCCCCTCTCCCCCCCACCATACTCCCCTGTACCTGCATGCGCGCATCGAGCAGCACGATGGCGGGCTTGATGTCTCCTTTGTCCCCCCTTCGCCCCTCCTGTCCCAGCCCCTTGCCCCCCTTCCTCCCCTCACCTGCATTTTGGCATCGAGCAGTACGTTGGCGGGCTTGATGTCTCGATGCACGATGTCAAACTGGTGGAGGTACTCCAACCCCCGCGCCACCCCCACCAGCACATCCATGCGCTGCTGCAGCGTCAGCTTGCCCTCCCGAGCACCTGCAACGCAAGCAGTAAGAAAGAGGTCAGTGTTGTTTATTGTTTACTGCCACCCCCACCTAAACATCCATGCGCTGCTGCAGCGTCAGCTCTCCCTCCCGAGCACCTGCCGTTGGTGAGGGAAGGCATGCAGATCAAGAAGGGGGGCTCAGGATGAGCTGAACTGGCACATGCATGCGCTGCTGCAGTGTCAGCCTGGGAAGGATGGCGTCCCAGACTGTCAGCTCGCCTTTCCTTGGGCTTTTGAGTCGACTCAAAAGTCAACGAAGGATGGCGTCCCAGACTGTCAGCTCGCCTTTCCTTGGGCTTTTGAGTCGACTCAAAAGTCAACGAAGGATGGCGTCCCAGACTGTCAGCTCGCCTTTCCTTGGGCTTTTGAGTCGACTCAAAAGTCAACGAAGGATGGCGTCCCAGACTGTCAGCTCGCCTTTCCTTGGGCCTGGGAAGGATGGTGAGACGAGGGTCAGAGGCACGGATGGGCGTGTGTTGAAGGAATAAAGCGGACCAATTTGACATTTGAGTTGACCCATAAGTTACCTCGTTACAATGGCAGAGGCACAGAAGGATGACGCATGGTGAAGGAACAAAGCGGACCAATTTGTCGTTCACATCATATATTGCACCACCTCATCACCATATCCAGTACGACAAGTGGGACAAAAAACAAACAAACAAACAAACAAACAAACCACAACTTTTCCATCGCAAGAACGCTCATCATGACACTTCTGCCGCACCACTCACCCCCACTGAGATACTTCTCCAAGTCCCCGTTGAGGCAGAACTCATAGATCACGATCTGCTCGAGCTGCCCTGTCATCATGTCCATGTCCACACAGTACCCCAGCAGCCGCACCAAGTGCGGATGGCTCTTTGATGCCATCTCCTCCACCTGTGCCGGGACCAAGGGGATGAGGAAAGAAAGACGTGACGGGCAGTGAACTCGTGAGACTATTGCGCCTCTTTGATGCCATCTCCTCCACCTGCTCGGTGGGGAGGAAAAGAGGGGAAGAAGGCAAGGGTGGGAAACTGTGACATGCAATGACATGCAATGACATGCTAAAAACATGGGCTCTTCTTTGATGCCATCTCCTCCACCTGCATGGGTAAAGAAGAAGGAAAATAAGAGGGAAGATGTGACTTGTGTGCGATTCCATAGAGGGAAGATGTGACTTGTGTGCGATTTCATAGAGGGAAGATGTGACTTGTGTGCGATTTCATAGAGGGAAGATGTGACTTGTGTGCGATTTCATAGAGGGAAGATGTGACTTGTGTGCGATTTCATAGAGGGAAGATGTGACTTGTGTGCGATTTCATAGAGGGAAGATGTGACTTGTGTGCGATTTCATAGAGGGAAGATGTGACTTGTGTGCGATTTCATAGAGGGAAGATGTGACTTCTGTGCGATTTCATAGAGGGAAGATGTGACTTCTGTGCGATTTCATGCTACGCATGGGCTCTTTGATGCCATCTCCTCCACCTGTACAAGGGGAGGAAGGGAGATTTCTAGGAGATAAAAGGATGCCCATTCACTTTAACCCCACCTTCCCAAACATCTACTCCCGCTGCACACCTCTCGTTTAAAGTAATTGGTGAGTATTTTGGCGCGCTTCACAGCCCACACCACCAAAGGGTCGTCCGACCACACCACACCACACCCAACCACACCACATGACACGACACGACACCACAAACACGCACCTCTCGTTTAAAGTCGTTGGCGAGTATTTTGGCGCGCTTCACAGCCCACACCATGGTGGGTTCGTGTGGGCACACCCCCCGATACACCTCGCCATACCCTCCTGACCCAATCAGGTTCTCCTTCGCCCAGCTCCCAGTTGCCTTCTTGACTTGCTTGAGGGAGTACCGTTGGCACGTGGCTCTCTGGCCTAGCATGCTCCAAAAGTCTGGCTTGCCTGCACAATGCGATAGTTTATGGAAGGGGAGAGTTGGGCACACATGTGGTTCTCCTTTGCTTAACCCCCCGAGTTGCCTTCTTGACTTGCTTGAGGGAATACCGCTAGCACGTGGCCCTCTGGCCCAGCATGCTCCAGAAATCCGTCTTGCCTGCACAACAAGCATGTGTGTGTGTGTGTGTGTGCGCGCGCGCGCGCGCGTGCGCGCGCGTGTGCGTGTGTGTGCGTGGGAAAACAAACAGTTTCAACAATGCGGCGCAACAGGTAGAGAAATAATTTGAATCAGACTCACACAGTAGCAATATTGCCGATAAGAATCAGCCCCCTCATAAACGCACCTCCAAGGCACACGTGGAACAACAGAACTTATTTGGGTTGACTCAAACCACACCCTGCTTACATGCACTCACCTTTAGGGTAACCATGGAACAAGAAATTCCCCCTCAGTGCAGCCAGAAGCAGCAAAAGAGGTTTGAGACGCCTAGAGAGCCCTTCTCGACGCACCTTTAGGGTAACCATTGAACATCAAACACCCTCCGAGTGTGGCTAGAAGCAGCAGAAGACCCACGCCGACCGCAATGCCGATTATTAAAGGGTTTTGCGTTTCGCCCGTAGATGGTGACAATGATGATGGTGGTGATGGTGATGGCGATGGTGATTGTAATGGGGGGGAGGTTGTGGTTGCACCTGAAGCAGTGGGAGAACAGTGGAGGAAAAACAAGGCCAGGGTTCAGGGTTCATTTTGAGGCGCCTCAAAATCCGCGTGCAGTGAGGTGTATTTTGAGGTGTATTTTGAGGCGCCTCAAAATACACCTCACTGCACGATGGGGGGGAGGTTGTGGTTGCACCTGAAGCAGTTGGATAACAGTGGAGGAAAAACAAGGCCAGGGTTCAGGGTTTAGAGCTTAGGGCAGGGGATTGTTTGGAAAACGAAAAGAAAACCTGTTAGTCACGCTCCAATGCACAGAGCATTGTAGCAGGAGAATATCCATGGCCATAGTGTAAGACCATACCCATGCTACCTCACTAATATGCGGCATTGATACATTGCTACAATGCTGTTACCTTGTTACTTACTACCTACGTGTACATTGCACTGCTTGGGCGGCATGCTTGCTTGCAGTGGAACAGTTGGCGCAGAAGGCAAGGCAGAGCAATACCTACTGTGCTACCTTGTTACAACATCACCTCGTATGGGCGGCAGACTGACAGTACCTACCTGGCTTGGGTGGCAGCCCTGCACTGGAGCAGTTGGCACAGAAGGTGGGGCAGGAGCCTATTTTTGAGTAGACTAAAAAATTACCTCGTATGGATGGAAGACTGACAGTACCTACCCAGCTTAGGTGGCAGGCCGGCAGTGGAGCAGTTGGTGCAGAAGGCGGGACAGGTGAGGCAGAATTGAGAGGAGGGGGTTTGCCACACCACACACGGTGGTCGCCCTGCTGCTGATGGGCATGTGATCCCCGTGCCCCTCGTGTCGCTGGATAAGAGGTGAGGGGAGAGGGGGGGTTCAGGGGCCAAACAAGACAGAGAGGAAAGGCAAGGTGGGGCATGTGATCCCCGTGCCCCTCATGTCGCTGGATAGGAGGTGAGGGGAATTAAGGGAATTGGGGAGATTGAGGGCAACTTACACAGGAGGAGCGTGATTGAGTTACAGGAATAATACTATTTTAGGAGAAAGTGTTGATGGTGCTTACAGATACTTCAGAAATCACAGGCTGATGGTTCTTACAGCATCCTGAGGTCTGTAAGAAAGTGTTTGAGGCGCATCAAGAAACAGACTTACAGCTCTGTGAGGTGTGTAAGAAAGTGTTTGAGGCGCATCAAGAAACAGACTTACAGCTCTGTGAGGTGTGTAAGAAAGTGTTTGAGGCGACTCAAGAAACAGACTTACAGCTCTGTGAGGTGTGTAAGAAAGTGTTTGAGGCGCATCAAGAAACAGACTTACAGCTCTGTGAGGTGTGTAAGAAAGTGTTTGAGGCGCATCAAGAAACAGACTTACAGCTCTGTGAGGTGTGTAAGAAAGTGTTTGAGGCGCATCAAGAAACAGACTTACAGCTCTGTGAGGTGTGTAAGAAAGTGTTTGAGGCGACTCAAGAAACAGACTTACAGCTCTGTGAGGTGTGTAAGAAAGTGTTTGAGGCGCATCAAGAAACAGACTTACAGCTCTGTGAGGTGTGTAAGAAAGTGTTTGAGGCGACTCAAGAAACAGACTTACAGCTCTGTGAGGTGTGTAAGAAAGTGTTTGAGGCGACTCAAGAAACAGACTTACAGCTCTGTGAGGTGTGTAAGAAAGTGTTTGAGGCGACTCAAGAAACAGACTTACAGCTCTGTGAGGTGTGTAAGAAAGTGTTTGAGGCGACTCAAGAAACAGACTTACAGCTCTGTGAGGTGTGTAAGAAAGTGTTTGAGGCGCATCAAGAAACAGACTTACAGCTCTGTGAGGTGTGTAAGAAAGTGTTTGAGGCGACTCAAGAAACAGACTTACAGCTCTGTGAGGTGTGTAAGAAAGTGTTTGAGGCGACTCAAGAAACAGACTTACAGCTCTGTGAGGTGTGTAAGAAAGTGTTTGAGGCGCATCAAGAAACAGACTTACAGCTCTGTGAGGTGTGTAAGAAAGTGTTTGAGGCGACTCAAGAAACAGACTTACAGCTCTGTGAGGTGTGTAAGAAAGTGTTTGAGGCGACTCAAGAAACAGACTTACAGCTCTGTGAGGTGTGTAAGAAAGTGTTTGAGGCAACTCAAGAAACAGACTTACAGCTCTGTGAGGTGTGTAAGAAAGTGTTTGAGGCGCATCAAGAAACAGACTTACAGCTCTGTGAGGTGTGTAAGAAAGTGTTTGAGGCGCATCAAGAAACAGACTTACAGCTCTGTGAGGTGTGTAAGAAAGTGTTTGAGGCGACTCAAGAAACAGACTTACAGCTCTGTGAGGTGTGTAAGAAAGTGTTTGAGGCGCATCAAGAAACAGACTTACAGCTCTGTGAGGTGTGTAAGAAAGTGTTTGAGGCGGCTCAAGAAACAGACTTACAGCTCTGTGAGGTGTGTAAGAAAGTGTTTGAGGCGACTCAAGAAACAGACTTACAGCTCTGTGAGGTGTGTAAGAAAGTGTTTGAGGCGACTCAAGAAACAGACTTACAGCTCTGTGAGGTGTGTAAGAAAGTGTTTGAGGCGACTCAAGAAACAGACTTACAGCTCTGTGAGGTGTGTAAGAAAGTGTTTGAGGCGGCTCAAGAAACAGACTTACAGCTCTGTGAGGTGTGTAAGAAAGTGTTTGAGGCGACTCAAGAAACAGACTTACAGCTCTGTGAGGTGTGTAAGAAAGTGTTTGAGGCGCATCAAGAAACAGACTTACAGCTCTGTGAGGTGTGTAAGAAAGTGTTTGAGGCGACTCAAGAAACAGACTTACAGCTCTGTGAGGTGTGTAAGAAAGTGTTTGAGGCGCATCAAGAAACAGACTTACAGCTCTGTGAGGTGTGTAAGAAAGTGTTTGAGGCGACTCAAGAAACAGACTTACAGCTCTGTGAGGTGTGTAAGAAAGTGTTTGAGGCGACTCAAGAAACAGACTTAAAGCTCTGTGAGGTGTGTAAGAAAGTGTTTGAGGCAACTCAAGAAACAGACTTACAGCTCTGTGAGGTGTGTAAGAAAGTGTTTGAGGCGCATCAAGAAACAGACTTACAGCTCTGTGAGGTGTGTAAGAAAGTGTTTGAGGCGCATCAAGAAACAGACTTACAGCTCTGTGAGGTGTGTAAGAAAGTGTTTGAGGCGCATCAAGAAACAGACTTACAGCTCTGTGAGGTGTGTAAGAAAGTGTTTGAGGCGCATCAAGAAACAGACTTACAGCTCTGTGAGGTGTGTAAGAAAGTGTTTGAGGCGCATCAAGAAACAGACTTACAGCTCTGTGAGGTGTGTAAGAAAGTGTTTGAGGCGCATCAAGAAACAGACTTACAGCTCTGTGAGGTGTGTACGAAAGTGTTTGAGGCGCATCAAGAAACAGACTTACAGCTCTGTGAGGTGTGTAAGAAAGTGTTTGAGGCGACTCAAGAAACAGACTTACAGCTCTGTGAGGTGTGTAAGAAAGTGTTTGAGGCGCATCAAGAAACAGACTTACAGCTCTGTGAGGTGTGTAAGAAAGTGTTTGAGGCGACTCAAGAAACAGACTTACAGCTCTGTGAGGTGTGTAAGAAAGTGTTTGAGGCGACTCAAGAAACAGACTTACAGCTCTGTGAGGTGTGTAAGAAAGTGTTTGAGGCGCATCAAGAAACAGACTTACAGCTCTGTGAGGTGTGTAAGAAAGTGTTTGAGGCGCATCAAGAAACAGACTTACAGCTCTGTGAGGTGTGTAAGAAAGTGTTTGAGGCGACTCAAGAAACAGACTTACAGCTCTGTGAGGTGTGTAAGAAAGTGTTTGAGGCGCATCAAGAAACAGACTTACAGCTCTGTGAGGTGTGTAAGAAAGTGTTTGAGGCGACTCAAGAAACAGACTTACAGCTCTGTGAGGTGTGTAAGAAAGTGTTTGAGGCGACTCAAGAAACAGACTTACAGCTCTGTGAGGTGTGTAAGAAAGTGTTTGAGGCGGCACTTACAGCTCTGTGAGGTGTGTAAGAAAGTGTTTGAGGCGCATCAAGAAACAGACTTACAGCTCTGTGAGGTGTGTAAGAAAGTGTTTGAGGCGACTCAAGAAACAGACTTACAGCTCTGTGAGGTGTGTAAGAAAGTGTTTGAGGCGCATCAAGAAACAGACTTACAGCTCTGTGAGGTGTGTAAGAAAGTGTTTGAGGCGGCTCAAGAAACAGACTTACAGCTCTGTGAGGTGTGTAAGAAAGTGTTTGAGGCGACTCAAGAAACAGACTTACAGCTCTGTGAGGTGTGTAAGAAAGTGTTTGAGGCGACTCAAGAAACAGACTTACAGCTCTGTGAGGTGTGTAAGAAAGTGTTTGAGGCGCATCAAGAAACAGACTTACAGCTCTGTGAGGTGTGTAAGAAAGTGTTTGAGGCGACTCAAGAAACAGACTTACAGCTCTGTGAGGTGTGTAAGAAAGTGTTTGAGGCGGCTCAAGAAACAGACTTACAGCTCTGTGAGGTGTGTAAGAAAGTGTTTGAGGCGACTCAAGAAACAGACTTACAGCTCTGTGAGGTGTGTAAGAAAGTGTTTGAGGCGACTCAAGAAACAGACTTACAGCTCTGTGAGGTGTGTAAGAAAGTGTTTGAGGCGACTCAAGAAACAGACTTACAGCTCTGTGAGGTGTGTAAGAAAGTGTTTGAGGCGGCTCAAGAAACAGACTTACAGCTCTGTGAGGTGTGTAAGAAAGTGTTTGAGGCGACTCAAGAAACAGACTTACAGCTCTGTGAGGTGTGTAAGAAAGTGTTTGAGGCGCATCAAGAAACAGACTTACAGCTCTGTGAGGTGTGTAAGAAAGTGTTTGAGGCGCATCAAGAAACAGACTTACAGCTCTGTGAGGTGTGTAAGAAAGTGTTTGAGGCGACTCAAGAAACAGACTTACAGCTCTGTGAGGTGTGTAAGAAAGTGTTTGAGGCGACTCAAGAAACAGACTTACAGCTCTGTGAGGTGTGTAAGAAAGTGTTTGAGGCGGCTCAAGAAACAGACTTACAGCTCTGTGAGGTGTGTAAGAAAGTGTTTGAGGCGACTCAAGAAACAGACTTACAGCTCTGTGAGGTGTGTAAGAAAGTGTTTGAGGCGACTCAAGAAACAGACTTACAGCTCTGTGAGGTGTGTAAGAAAGTGTTTGAGGCCCATCAAGAAACAGACTTACAGCTCTGTGAGGTGTGTAAGAAAGTGTTTGAGGCGCATCAAGAAACAGACTTACAGCTCTGTGAGGTGTGTAAGAAAGTGTTTGAGGCGCATCAAGAAACAGACTTACAGCTCTGTGAGGTGTGTACGAAAGTGTTTGAGGCGCATCAAGAAACAGACTTACAGCTCTGTGAGGTGTGTAAGAAAGTGTTTGAGGCGACTCAAGAAACAGACTTACAGCTCTGTGAGGTGTGTAAGAAAGTGTTTGAGGCGCATCAAGAAACAGACTTACAGCTCTGTGAGGTGTGTAAGAAAGTGTTTGAGGCGACTCAAGAAACAGACTTACAGCTCTGTGAGGTGTGTAAGAAAGTGTTTGAGGCGACTCAAGAAACAGACTTACAGCTCTGTGAGGTGTGTAAGAAAGTGTTTGAGGCGGCTCAAGAAACAGACTTACAGCTCTGTGAGGTGTGTAAGAAAGTGTTTGAGGCGCATCAAGAAACAGACTTACAGCTCTGTGAGGTGTGTAAGAAAGTGTTTGAGGCGCATCAAGAAACAGACTTACAGCTCTGTGAGGTGTGTAAGAAAGTGTTTGAGGCGCATCAAGAAACAGACTTATAGCTCTGTGAGGTGTGTAAGAAAGTGTTTGAGGCGCATCAAGAAACAGACTTACAGCTCTGTGAGGTGTGTAAGAAAGTGTTTGAGGCGACTCAAGAAACAGACTTACAGCTCTGTGAGGTGTGTAAGAAAGTGTTTGAGGCGCATCAAGAAACAGACTTACAGCTCTGTGAGGTGTGTAAGAAAGTGTTTGAGGCGGCTCAAGAAACAGACTTACAGCTCTGTGAGGTGTGTAAGAAAGTGTTTGAGGCGACTCAAGAAACAGACTTACAGCTCTGTGAGGTGTGTAAGAAAGTGTTTGAGGCGACTCAAGAAACAGACTTACAGCTCTGTGAGGTGTGTAAGAAAGTGTTTGAGGCGACTCAAGAAACAGACTTACAGCTCTGTGAGGTGTGTAAGAAAGTGTTTGAGGCGGCTCAAGAAACAGACTTACAGCTCTGTGAGGTGTGTAAGAAAGTGTTTGAGGCGACTCAAGAAACAGACTTACAGCTCTGTGAGGTGTGTAAGAAAGTGTTTGAGGCGCATCAAGAAACAGACTTACAGCTCTGTGAGGTGTGTAAGAAAGTGTTTGAGGCGCATCAAGAAACAGACTTACAGCTCTGTGAGGTGTGTAAGAAAGTGTTTGAGGCGACTCAAGAAACAGACTTACAGCTCTGTGAGGTGTGAAAGAAAGTGTTTGAGGCGCATCAAGAAACAGACTTACAGCTCTGTGAGGTGTGTAAGAAAGTGTTTGAGGCGCATCAAGAAACAGACTTACAGCTCTGTGAGGTGTGTAAGAAAGTGTTTGAGGCGACTCAAGAAACAGACTTACAGCTCTGTGAGGTGTGTAAGAAAGTGTTTGAGGCGCATCAAGAAACAGACTTACAGCTCTGTGAGGTGTGTAAGAAAGTGTTTGAGGCGACTCAAGAAACAGACTTACAGCTCTGTGAGGTGTGTAAGAAAGTGTTTGAGGCGACTCAAGAAACAGACTTACAGCTCTGTGAGGTGTGTAAGAAAGTGTTTGAGGCGACTCAAGAAACAGACTTACAGCTCTGTGAGGTGTGTAAGAAAGTGTTTGAGGCGACTCAAGAAACAGACTTACAGCTCTGTGAGGTGTGTAAGAAAGTGTTTGAGGCGACTCAAGAAACAGACTTACAGCTCTGTGAGGTGTGTAAGAAAGTGTTTGAGGCGACTCAAGAAACAGACTTACAGCTCTGTGAGGTGTGTAAGAAAGTGTTTGAGGCGCATCAAGAAACAGACTTACAGCTCTGTGAGGTGTGTAAGAAAGTGTTTGAGGCGCATCAAGAAACAGACTTACAGCTCTGTGAGGTGTGTAAGAAAGTGTTTGAGGCGACTCAAGAAACAGACTTACAGCTCTGTGAGGTGTGAAAGAAAGTGTTTGAGGCGCATCAAGAAACAGACTTACAGCTCTGTGAGGTGTGTAAGAAAGTGTTTGAGGCGCATCAAGAAACAGACTTACAGCTCTGTGAGGTGTGTAAGAAAGTGTTTGAGGCGACTCAAGAAACAGACTTACAGCTCTGTGAGGTGTGTAAGAAAGTGTTTGAGGCGCATCAAGAAACAGACTTACAGCTCTGTGAGGTGTGTAAGAAAGTGTTTGAGGCGACTCAAGAAACAGACTTACAGCTCTGTGAGGTGTGTAAGAAAGTGTTTGAGGCGACTCAAGAAACAGACTTACAGCTCTGTGAGGTGTGTAAGAAAGTGTTTGAGGCGACTCAAGAAACAGACTTACAGCTCTGTGAGGTGTGTAAGAAAGTGTTTGAGGCGACTCAAGAAACAGACTTACAGCTCTGTGAGGTGTGTAAGAAAGTGTTTGAGGCGACTCAAGAAACAGACTTACAGCTCTGTGAGGTGTGTAAGAAAGTGTTTGAGGCGACTCAAGAAACAGACTTACAGCTCTGTGAGGTGTGTAAGAAAGTGTTTGAGGCGACTCAAGAAACAGACTTACAGCTCTGTGAGGTGTGTAAGAAAGTGTTTGAGGCGACTCAAGAAACAGACTTACAGCTCTGTGAGGTGTGTAAGAAAGTGTTTGAGGCGGCTCAAGAAACAGACTTACAGCTCTGTGAGGTGTGTAAGAAAGTGTTTGAGGCGCATCAAGAAACAGACTTACAGCTCTGTGAGGTGTGTAAGAAAGTGTTTGAGGCGCATCAAGAAACAGACTTACAGCTCTGTGAGGTGTGTAAGAAAGTGTTTGAGGCGCATCAAGAAACAGACTTATAGCTCTGTGAGGTGTGTAAGAAAGTGTTTGAGGCGCATCAAGAAACAGACTTACAGCTCTGTGAGGTGTGTAAGAAAGTGTTTGAGGCGACTCAAGAAACAGACTTACAGCTCTGTGAGGTGTGTAAGAAAGTGTTTGAGGCGCATCAAGAAACAGACTTACAGCTCTGTGAGGTGTGTAAGAAAGTGTTTGAGGCGGCTCAAGAAACAGACTTACAGCTCTGTGAGGTGTGTAAGAAAGTGTTTGAGGCGACTCAAGAAACAGACTTACAGCTCTGTGAGGTGTGTAAGAAAGTGTTTGAGGCGACTCAAGAAACAGACTTACAGCTCTGTGAGGTGTGTAAGAAAGTGTTTGAGGCGACTCAAGAAACAGACTTACAGCTCTGTGAGGTGTGTAAGAAAGTGTTTGAGGCGGCTCAAGAAACAGACTTACAGCTCTGTGAGGTGTGTAAGAAAGTGTTTGAGGCGACTCAAGAAACAGACTTACAGCTCTGTGAGGTGTGTAAGAAAGTGTTTGAGGCGCATCAAGAAACAGACTTACAGCTCTGTGAGGTGTGTAAGAAAGTGTTTGAGGCGCATCAAGAAACAGACTTACAGCTCTGTGAGGTGTGTAAGAAAGTGTTTGAGGCGACTCAAGAAACAGACTTACAGCTCTGTGAGGTGTGAAAGAAAGTGTTTGAGGCGCATCAAGAAACAGACTTACAGCTCTGTGAGGTGTGTAAGAAAGTGTTTGAGGCGCATCAAGAAACAGACTTACAGCTCTGTGAGGTGTGTAAGAAAGTGTTTGAGGCGACTCAAGAAACAGACTTACAGCTCTGTGAGGTGTGTAAGAAAGTGTTTGAGGCGCATCAAGAAACAGACTTACAGCTCTGTGAGGTGTGTAAGAAAGTGTTTGAGGCGACTCAAGAAACAGACTTACAGCTCTGTGAGGTGTGTAAGAAAGTGTTTGAGGCGACTCAAGAAACAGACTTACAGCTCTGTGAGGTGTGTAAGAAAGTGTTTGAGGCGACTCAAGAAACAGACTTACAGCTCTGTGAGGTGTGTAAGAAAGTGTTTGAGGCGACTCAAGAAACAGACTTACAGCTCTGTGAGGTGTGTAAGAAAGTGTTTGAGGCGACTCAAGAAACAGACTTACAGCTCTGTGAGGTGTGTAAGAAAGTGTTTGAGGCGACTCAAGAAACAGACTTACAGCTCTGTGAGGTGTGTAAGAAAGTGTTTGAGGCGCATCAAGAAACAGACTTACAGCTCTGTGAGGTGTGTAAGAAAGTGTTTGAGGCGACTCAAGAAACAGACTTACAGCTCTGTGAGGTGTGTAAGAAAGTGTTTGAGGCGACTCAAGAAACAGACTTACAGCTCTGTGAGGTGTGTAAGAAAGTGTTTGAGGCGACTCAAGAAACAGACTTACAGCTCTGTGAGGTGTGTAAGAAAGTGTTTGAGGCGACTCAAGAAACAGACTTACAGCTCTGTGAGGTGTGTAAGAAAGTGTTTGAGGCGACTCAAGAAACAGACTTACAGCTCTGTGAGGTGTGTCAGAAAGTGTTTGAGGCGACTCAAGAAACAGACTTACAGCTCTGTGAGGTGTGTAAGAAAGTGTTTGAGGCGACTCAAGAAACAGACTTACAGCTCTGTGAGGTGTGTAAGAAAGTGTTTGAGGCGCATCAAGAAACAGACTTACAGCTCTGTGAGGTGTGTAAGAAAGTGTTTGAGGCGGCTCAAGAAACAGACTTACAGCTCTGTGAGGTGTGTAAGAAAGTGTTTGAGGCGACTCAAGAAACAGACTTACAGCTCTGTGAGGTGTGTAAGAAAGTGTTTGAGGCGACTCAAGAAACAGACTTACAGCTCTGTGAGGTGTGTAAGAAAGTGTTTGAGGCGACTCAAGAAACAGACTTACAGCTCTGTGAGGTGTGTAAGAAAGTGTTTGAGGCGCATCAAGAAACAGACTTACAGCTCTGTGAGGTGTGTAAGAAAGTGTTTGAGGCGACTCAAGAAACAGACTTACAGCTCTGTGAGGTGTGTAAGAAAGTGTTTGAGGCGACTCAAGAAACAGACTTACAGCTCTGTGAGGTGTGTAAGAAAGTGTTTGAGGCGACTCAAGAAACAGACTTACAGCTCTGTGAGGTGTGTAAGAAAGTGTTTGAGGCGACTCAAGAAACAGACTTACAGCTCTGTGAGGTGTGTAAGAAAGTGTTTGAGGCGACTCAAGAAACAGACTTACAGCTCTGTGAGGTGTGTAAGAAAGTGTTTGAGGCGCATCAAGAAACAGACTTACAGCTCTGTGAGGTGTGTAAGAAAGTGTTTGAGGCGACTCAAGAAACAGACTTACAGCTCTGTGAGGTGTGTAAGAAAGTGTTTGAGGCGACTCAAGAAACAGACTTACAGCTCTGTGAGGTGTGTAAGAAAGTGTTTGAGGCGACTCAAGAAACAGACTTACAGCTCTGTGAGGTGTGTAAGAAAGTGTTTGAGGCGACTCAAGAAACAGACTTACAGCTCTGTGAGGTGTGTAAGAAAGTGTTTGAGGCGACTCAAGAAACAGACTTACAGCTCTGTGAGGTGTGTAAGAAAGTGTTTGAGGCGACTCAAGAAACAGACTTACAGCTCTGTGAGGTGTGTAAGAAAGTGTTTGAGGCGCATCAAGAAACAGACTTACAGCTCTGTGAGGCCGGTAAGCCTGCCAATGCTGGGGGGAAGCACACCTTGAATAGCAGTGGTAGAGACGTCACTGGATGCACGAGGAGGGGACGGGGGGGGTATGGGTCGTCAGGTAGCAGCAACTCATACGTTACAATACCAACCCATCACGTTGCTATTGAGGCGCCTCAGAAGCACATGAGGAGCAATACTGATATACCATTGAGCTCAGGAAAGTGAAGTACATTAGACTTAAGTACATTAAGGTAATGAAAATATACCGAGTACAATCGGGTAATGAAAATATACCGAGTACAATCGGGTAATGAAAATATACCGAGTACAATCGGGTAATGAAAATATACCGAGTACAATCGGGTAATGAAAATATACCGAGTACAATCGGGTAATGAAAATATACCGAGTACAATCGGGTAATGAAAATATACCGAGTACAATCGGGTAATGAAAATATACCGAGTACAATCGGGTAATGAAAATATACCGAGTACAATCGGGTAATGAAAATATACCGAGTACAATCGGGTAATGAAAATATACCGAGTACAATCGGGTAATGAAAATATACCGAGTACAATCGGGTAATGAAAATATACCGAGTACAATCGGGTAATGAAAATATACAGAGTACAATCGGGTAATGAAAATATACCGAGTACAATCGGGTAATGAAAATACCTACAGAACGTTGAGGTTGGTAAGAGCCCCGATTTGCGACGGTATTGTTCCTCCCAACATGTTGCCACCAAGGCGACTGGTGAGGGGAAGGGGGGGGCGGAAGGAGGGATGTATGTTCAATGGTTGGTAAGTGCCCCGATTTGCGACGGTATTGTTCCTCCCAACATGTTGCCACCAAGGCGACTGGTGAGGGGAAGGGGGGGGCGGAAGGAGGGATGTATGTTCAATGGTTGGTAAGTGCCCCGATTTGCGACGGTATTGTTCCTCCCAACATGTTGCCACCAAGGCGACTGGTGAGGGGAAGGGGGGGGCGGAAGGAGGGATGTATGTTCAATGGTTGGTAAGTGCCCCGACTTGCGACGGTATTGTTCCTCCCAACATGTTGCCACCAAGGCGACTGGTGAGGGGAAGGGGGGGGCGGAAGGAGGGATGTATGTTCAATGGTTGGTAAGTGCCCCGACTTGCGACGGTATTGTTCCTCCCAACATGTTGCCACCAAGGCGACTGGTGAGGGGAAGGGGGGGGCGGAAGGAGGGATGTATGTTCAATGGTTGGTAAGTGCCCCGATTTGCGACGGTATTGTTCCTTCCAACATGTTGCCACCAAGGCGACTGGTGAGGGGAAGGGGGGGGCGGAAGGAGGGATGTATGTTCAATGGTTGGTAAGTGCCCCGATTTGCGACGGTATTGTTCCTCCCAACATGTTGCCACCAAGGCGTCTGGCGAGGGGAAGGGGGGGGCGGAAGGAGGGATGTATGTTCAATGGTTGGTAAGTGCCCCGATTTGCGACGGTATTGTTCCTCCCAACATGTTGCCACCAAGGCGACTGGTGAGGGGAAGGGGGGGGCGGAAGGAGGGATGTATGTTCAATGGTTGGTAAGTGCCCCGACTTGCGACGGTATTTTTCCTCCCAACATGTTGCCACCAAGGCGACTGGTGAGGGGAAGGGGGGGGCGGAAGGAGGGATGTATGTTCAATGGTTGGTAAGTGCCCCGACTTGCGACGGTATTGTTCCTCCCAACATGTTGCCACCAAGGCGACTGGTGAGGGGAAGGGGGGGGCGGAAGGAGGGATGTATGTTCAATGGTTGGTAAGTGCCCCGATTTGCGACGGTATTCTTCCTCCCAACATGTTGCCACCAAGGCGACTGGTGAGGGGAAGGGGGGGGCGGAAGGAGGGATGTATGTTCAATGGTTGGTAAGTGCCCCGATTTGCGACGGTATTGTTCCTCCCAACATGTTGCCACCAAGGCGACTGGTGAGGGGAAGGGGGGGGCGGAAGGAGGGATGTATGTTCAATGGTTGGTAAGTGCCCCGATTTGCGACGGTATTGTTCCTCCCAACATATTGCCACCAAGGCGTCTGGTGGGGGGGAGGGTAGGGAAAGGAGGTAGGTTTCATAAACAAACTAAACTTCACATTAGGAGATTCACAATTAGGTACGAAACAACAGCCACATACCTACCGCATCAAATAGACACAAGGGAGTGTTTCATCAATTCATACATTCTCAATGGCGGACCCTCGCATCTCGTATATTGATTAGTGAAACACCTTGTTGAGATGTGTTGAATCAAATGTTTGAGACATGAAGTGAGGAAAGCCATCAGCTTTACACAGAGGTTGACTCAAGTGGGCTCAGCCGTTGCCGTTGCTGTCCCAACAAAACCATTGGCAAGTGGTCAGTTTGAACTTTATCACCAACTTACCACCTTCCAAAGCATGTCATCATGACGTTCTGGCTGTCATCGACAAGCCATTTATTCTAAGATGTCCAAAGAGGAGGTTGTAGACCCATCAGTGGACATCCAAAGATGGGACACTTCATTTCAACCTACACGACTGCCCTGTAGTAAGGGCAGATTTTGGTAGATTGACGTTACCTCAAATTTTGGTGGACTCACAGAGTGACGCGGGCAGTGAGTTTTGCCAGGGACGGGGGAAGAGAGTCCGAGACGACTTTTGAGGCGCCTCAAAGTAATAACGTCAGGTGGACTCACAGAGCGACGAGGGCAGTGAGTTTTGCCAGGGACGGGGGAAGAGAGCCCGAGACGACTTTTGAGGCACCTCAAAGTAATAACGTCAGGTGGACTCACAGAGTGACGAGGGCAGTGAGTTTTGCCAGGGACGGGGGAAGAGAGCCCGAGACGACTTTTGAGGCGCCTCAAAGTAATAACGTCAGGTGGACTCACAGAGTGACGAGGGCAGTGGGTTTTGCCAGGGACGGGGGAAGAGAGCCCGAGACGACTTTTGAGGCGCCTCAAAGTAATAACGTCAGGTGGACTCACAGAGTGACGAGGGCAGTGAGTTTTGCCAGGGACGGGGGAAGAGAGCCCGAGAAATAGTTGTTTCTTAAGTCGCTGCATGCAGAGAAAATTCGGATGCAGTCAACGTGAAGAAAGTATTTTCACGCCTTTGATTGCCTTCGACGTGCTTTCACTGCCATAAAAAAGTATTTTCAGGGGAGAGAATTGTAATCCCCAAGGAGTTCAAAGGTGGGTTCAATGCATGTTCAATGCAACAGATGACTTTTGAGGCGTCTTTGAGTTTTGAGATGTCTCAAAACTGAATGACTTTTGAGGCGCGTTTTGAGTCGACTCAAAACACGGGGAGAGATTTGCAATCCCCAAAGAGTTCTATGTGGGGTTCATAATTCATTGCATGCTCAATGCAACTAATGACTTTTGAGGCGCCTCAACAAGAGAGCTGCTTACAGGCTAGTGAGGTCGGTGAGGAGGCTGAGAGAGGAGGGGATGGTACCCGTGAACCCATTGCTGCCCACGTTGCTGCAGGGACGAGAGAGGACAGTGCCACACATGGGTGGAGAGTGGTTAGCTCAGCTCACTCACTCCATACATACACAACGGTAGTGCATCACTTACAAAGCATATCACCTCACGGGAAACTGATGTTCAGTCGACTCAAGAGCAATCCATACATACACAACAATAGTACATCACTTACAAAGGACCTCACTGAACACTTACAGGTGGGTTTGGGTGTACTGAGAGTGCTGAGTGCATTCACTAGAATTCATTTTGAATTGCCCCGTAAAAAACTTACAGCGTTTCCAGAGAGGTGAGGTGAGGGAGCTGACCACACTGAATTCAAGGGAGGAGGTGAGGGCGCCTTCAAAAGAAACTACCAACTCACAGCGTCTCCAGAGAGGTGAGAGAGCTGAGTGAGAGGGGCAGAGAGCCTCGAAATGAGTTGCCTGAGACGTCCCTGCGTGCAGGGCATGGCATGGTGTGGCATGGCGTGGCATGGCATGGCATCATGGCATGGCATGGCATGGCCTCATATCATTGGCATGGCATGGCATCATGGCATGGCATAACATAACATGGAATGAAATGGCGTGGAATGGAGAAACATGCTCATGCCTGGAACTCATTCTGATTGAGTCGCCCCATCAGAAAGTTGCGGTGTTTGCAGAGACGTGAGGGCCCCGCTGACTGTGCTGCCGCGGCACTTCATGGGGCAAGAGCAAAAGTTTGAACCCACCCAGGGAGTGCTATTCCATTTGAGGCACCCTCAAGCGAATACTAACTTACAGCGTGTGCACAGAGGCGAGCGTGCGGACTGAGAGGGGCACTCCACGCGGCAAGAGAACGGGCTCAAACCCACGCTCATGCCTGGCTGGCGCTGCTAGTTTTGAGGCGCCCCATACGAGACCAACCAACAACTTACAGCGTGTGCACAGGGGAGAGTGTGCTGACTGATAGGGGCACTCTAAGAGGCAAGAGAACGGGCTCAAACCCACGCTCATGCCTGGCTGGCGCTGCTACTAATTTTGAGGTGCCCTATAAGAGACCAACAACTCACAGCGTGTGCACATAGGTGAGCGTGCCGGCCGCACTGCTGTGGCGCTCCATGAGAGAAGAGCAAGAGATTGATTGAACCCACCCAGGTAGTGCTACTGCTTTCAAGGTGCTTCAAAAGAATCTCACAACTTACAGCGTGTGCACAGAGGTGAGAGTGCTGACTGAGTCGGGCAGGGAGCCTTTGAGACATCTCAAAAGTCGTCCACTTACACACAGAATTTTTAGACGTCTCAAATGGCCCCTCAAGAGATTACCAACTTACAGCGTATGCACAGAGGTGAGAGTGCTAACTGAGAGGGGCAGGGAGCCTTGAATTGAGTTGCCTGAAATGTCCCTGTGTGAATGCAATGCATGGCATTGTGTGGCATGGCATGGTGTGGCATGAAGTGGCATGGTGTGACATGGTGTGGTATGGCATGGCATGGCATGGTGTGACATGGTGTGGCATGGCATGGCATGCAATGGAGGGCGTGAGAGTGGGAGTGAGAGGGCGTGCATTGGAAAACGTGAGAGGGAGTGAGAGAGAATGAGAGGGGATGAAGAGGGGAAAGGAGGGAGGGAGGGAGGGAGGGAGGGAGGGAGGGAGGGAGGGAGGGAGGGAGGGAGGGAGGGAGGGAGGGAGGGAGGGAGGGTTACGAGGGGCCTGTAGAAAGAACTTACAACTGTTTGAGGGACGTTAGGGAGTAGATGGAGGAGGGAAGAACTCCGCTAAACCTGTTGTTTGCAAGGTTCCTGCGAGGAAGGGAGGGGGGATATGGGGAGAGGAGCGGCGTATGGGAAGGAAGGGGCCTGAGGAAATGTGCGTGAGCATGTGGGAACTTTTGAGGCGCCTCATAAGTCGTTCCTGCGAGGAAGGGAGGGGGGATATGGGAAGAGGAGCGGCGTATGGTGGGAAGGAAGTGCCATCGAGGAAATGTGCGTGAGGTTCAGACATATCTCAGTGAGTGTGTGAGAAACTCGCCATCGAGGAAATGTGCGTGAGCGTGTGAGAAAGAGCAGGATGGAAGGATGGTTGGCAGGCCTGTTTTTTGAGCCGACTCAAAAACAGGGAGAGGAGTGGCGTGTGGGAAGGAAGCGGCATGATGAAATGGGCGTGAGCGTGTGAGAAAGAGCAGGATTGGAGGGATGGTTGGCAGACCAGCAATGTTCTACTTGAGAAAACATATGTATATAGAATGGTGGATCTTAAGGCAAGGCAAGGCAAGCTCGCTTTGTACACTTCAAAAGACCAACAAGAACAACTCTGGACAATGGCATTGCGGCGCAGGTGAATGCTACGGTGGGGTGGGTGTGGAAAAGAACGGGGGGGGGAGCTTACAGGATTTGCAGGGTGGTAAGGCGAGAGAGGGTGGCTGGGATGGTTCCGTTGATGTGGTTGTTTCGGAGATCCCTGCAAGTGGGGGAAGAGAAGGGAGGAAGAGAAGGTGGGGACATGTGACTGTGAGCAGATTGTGTGACTTGGACTCCATTCTTGGGACAGTTGATCCGGAGACCCCTGCAAGTATAGAGAGAGAGAGGGAGGGGCTTGGACAGATGTGCTGACTTTTTTAGTCGACTCAAAAGTCAGCTTGGACAGAATGTGGCAAATTGTGCTTTTGTGGGCGAATTGTGTGGCTAGAACTTCATTTTTTTAAGCAGTTGTTACGTAGGAGATCCCTGCTAGTGGGAGGGATTACTGTAGACGAATCGAGGATTGGTCAAGTACTCTTCCGATGCACTGAAAATTACCTCGTAGGACTCAGAAACTGACACATGAGAGAGAAGAATCAAGAGGAGATGCTGATTTAGGACTCACAGGGGGTTAAGCTGTGTGAGGCTGGCAATGCTGGAAGGAAGCGAGCCTGATAACGAGTTGTTGCCCAAGTCACTAACGAGGATGATGGAATGAGGTTCAAAGAAAGCAAAGATGTTTTGAAAATGTTTTACGCTGGTGGGAGGACTTGTGAAGTCAGTAACGACAAAACCAGAAATGGAAGGCTCGACATGGGTAGGGTAGGGCAAACGCTTTGGGTGCAATGAAAACGGAACAGAAATTTAAAGCCACATATGGGATAGCAACCTGCTAAGTATGTTAGGAGCTTGACCTACGAAAAAGTGTAGGCGTTAAGCCTACAAAGCAGTTTAGCTTACTAAGCATTTCCGGCGCTACTACCTAGTAGGCATCATCGTAGACTACGCTTACAGCCTAAGCAGTGTGGTGAGGAGGCCAATATTGGAGCATATGGATCCGGAAAGAATCCTCTCGTGTAGGACTCTAAGGGGGATGGGGACAAGGGAGGGTGGGAGTGCGGGCGGGGAGGAGGGGTGCAAATAAGGGTGCGGTGAGCGAGGTTAGGTAGGTGAGGGGTGGCGTGGTGAGCAGTGCGGTGAGGAGGCCAATATTGGAGCATATGGATCCGGAAAGAACCGTCTTATGGATGGATGGAGGACTCTAGGGATTGGGACGAAGGGAGGGGGACGAAGAAGGGTCGGAGAGGGGGATAAGGGTGGGGTGTGAGAGAGGATAGGGGAGGAGTGGCGTTGTGAGGAGGCCAATGGACTTAGAAAGAACCCTCTGGCGTTGAGACTAGTTTTGAGGCGCCTCAAAACTGGAGTGGCGTTGTGAGGAGGCCAATATTGGCAATATTGGCATGGATGGACTTAGAAAGGAACCCTCTCGTGGAGGAGAGGACTCTAAAGGGGGATAAGCAGGGGGGGGTGGGGAGGCAGGGGGATGGTGGGGAGGCATAGGGTTGGTGGGGAAGTGTGTGAGAGGTTGGAGTTGGGAAGAGGTGGTTGGGAGGGGCAGCACCTAAAACCCGAAACCCTGAAAAGGTGATATGGACAGAAACGAACGCAAGGAATGTGACACACGCAGATGGCAAGTCTGTCAGGGCCACACTTAATGGATGAGTTAAAGGTGTTCGTCTCTTGCACAGAGTTGAATTGAAAGTGTTCGAACCGCAGCAAGGTTGAATTCGCCTGGAGGCTTTAGCTAAACACCACGTCTAACAGGGTGGGTGAGTTGCAAGAGCAAAGAGAGTGGTAAGAAACCTTCGGGACTACTATGAGTCTCAGGTAACTCTGTAGGCGCGAATGCGTTTCGGCCGGAGCCGTAGTCAGTCAGCGCCAGAGTTTTGCTGGCAGGGCCACGCCACACTTGATGGACTTTTGAGTCGACTCAAAAGTCAACTTCTGAGTCGACTCAAAAGTCAACTTCTGAGTCGACTCAAAAGTCAATTCGGCCGGAGCCGTAGTCAGTCAGCGCCAGAGTTTTGCTGGCAGGGCCACACTTGATGGATGAGTAAAAGGCGCAGGGCACGCCAGGATACCACATGCCATCAGTCTGAAAACTTCCATCAGTCACTCGCTCACATGCCCATGGCAGCACTGTCAGGGCCACACTTGATGGATGAGTTAAAGGTGCAGGGCACGCCAGGATACCACATGCCGTCTGGCTCTTGAGTCGACTAGATACACCACTCACATGCCCATTACAGCACACCACTCCCATGCCGATGGCATTGCTGTCGGTCCCACACTTGATGGATGAGTTTAGGTTGCAGGGCACGCCAGGATACTTTCGCAAATTCTCAGCTGCCACTCACATACCCACGACACCACTCACATGCCGATGGCATTGCTGTCAGTCCCGCACTTGATGGACGACTCTGGGTTGCAGGGCACGCCAGGGTACCACATGCCCTCTGGTAACCCCATCTCTTCGCCACACGCCCTCAGGATTTCGCCTGGGAGGGGATGGGAGGGATGGGAAGGGATGGGAAGGGGTGGGAAGGGGTGGGAAGGGGTGGGAAGGGGAGGAGGGATGGATGCGGAGATGTGAGAGGGGGAAGGGGAGATGTGAGAGGGGGAAGGGGAGATGTGAGAGGGGGAAGGGGAGATGTGAGAGGGGGAAGGGGAGATGTGAGCGGGGGAAGGGGAGATGTGAGCGGGGGAAGGGGAGATGTGAGCGGGGGAAGGGGAGATGTGAGCGGGGGAAGGGGGGATGTGAGAGGGGGAAGGGGGGATGTGAGCGGGGGAAGGGGGGATGTGAGCGGGGGGAAGGGGGGATGTGAGAGGGGGAAGGGGGGATGTGAGAGGGGGAAGGGGAGATGTGAGAGGGGGAAGGGGAGATGTGAGAGGGGGAAGGGGAGATGTGAGAGGGGGAAGGGGAGATGTGAGCGGGGGAAGGGGGGATGTGAGAGGGGGAAGGGGAGATGTAAGAGGGGGAAGGGGGGATGTGAGCGGGGGAAGGGGAGATGTGAGCGGGGGAAGGGGGGATGTGAGAGGGGGAAGGGGGGATGTGAGCGGGGGAAGGGGGGATGTGAGCGGGGGAAGGGGGGATGTGAGAGGGGGAAGGGGGGATGTGAGAGGGGGGAAGGGGAGATGTGAGAGGGGGAAGGGGAGATGTGAGAGGGGGAAGGGGAGATGTGAGAGGGGGAAGGGGAGATGTGAGCGGGGGAAGGGGGGATGTGAGAGGGGGAAGGGGAGATGTAAGAGGGGGAAGGGGGGATGTGAGCGGGGGAAGGGGAGATGTGAGCGGGGGGAAGGGGGGATGTGAGAGGGGGAAGGGGAGATGTAAGAGGGGGAAGGGGAGATGTGAGCGGGGGAAGGGGAGATGTGAGCGGGGGAAGGGGGGATGTGAGAGGGGGAAGGGGGGATGTGAGCGGGGGAAGGGGGGATGTGAGCGGGGGAAGGGGGGATGTGAGAGGGGGAAGGGGGATGTGAGAGGGGGAAGGGGAGATGTGAGAGGGGGAAGGGGAGATGTGAGAGGGGGAAGGGGAGATGTGAGAGGGGGAAGGGGAGATGTGAGAGGGGGAAGGGGAGATGTGAGCGGGGGAAGGGGAGATGTGAGCGGGGGAAGGGAGATGTTAGCGGGGGAAGGGGGGATGTGAGAGGGGGAAGGGGAGATGTAAGAGGGGGAAGGGGGGATGTGAGCGGGGGAAGGGGAGATGTGAGCGGGGGAAGGGGAGATGTGAGCGGGGGAAGGGGGGATGTGAGAGGGGGAAGGGGGGATGTGAGAGGGGGAAGGGGGGATGTGAGCGGGGGAAGGGGGGATGTGAGCGGGGGAAGGGGGGATGTGAGAGGGGGAAGGGGGGATGTGAGAGGGGGAAGGGGAGATGTGAGAGGGGGAAGGGGAGATGTGAGAGGGGGAAGGGGAGATGTGAGAGGGGGAAGGGGGGATGTGAGCTGGGGAAGGGGAGATGTGAGAGGGGGAAGGGGAAACGCACTCACTACCAGGATTCCGGTTTTGAGGGTTTAGGGAAAACTACACTACCAGGATTCCGGTTTTGAGGGTTTAGGGAAAACTACACTACCAGGATTCTAGTTTTGAGGCGCCTCAAAACTACACTACCAGGACTCAACTCAACACATAGCTCCTCTTGAGCCTCAAAACCCGCTCCCACGCTCTTCCTTCCACACACCTTTCCATGCACTCCCCACACCGCTCTCCCCTCCCCGACACTCTTTCCCCCTCCCTCCTTCCACACCTTCCCCCTTCCCCCTTCCCCCTCCCCCCTCCCCTTTTCCCCCTTCCTCCTTCCCCCCTCCCCTCTTTCCCCCTGCTCCCTTCCCCCCATTTCCCCCCTTTCCCCTTCCCCCTTACCCTCCCTTCCCAACACCCCACCTTGTTCCGCCGTCACATTCACGGGCAAAGAATCCCCAGCCGCTTCCCCGGTTCCCCCGTCTGCACCCGGCGGAAGGGGCCCGTTTCCCCCACCCCCGCCAGGCGGAAGGGGCCCGCTTCCCCCACCTCCGCCCGGCGGAAGGGGCTCCTGTCCCCCACCTCCGCCAGGAGGACCCTGCCCCCCCTCTCCGCCAGGCGGCATCCCGCTCGGGGGTTCCGCCAGCCCCTCCCCCGCGCGCCCCTTTCCGCCCCCAGGCCCCGGCGGTAACCCCCCGCCTCCGCCAGGGGGCTGGCTGGCGGAGGGGGAAAGTAGCCAAGCATAGACGAGAAGAGCGACGGAGAGGCGGTGTGAGAGGGGTTGTAGGCGACTTGTATGACGTTTCTTGAAACCTCCGAGAACCTTTCTTGGCCCGACGATGGGCCTTGTACTACTCTGGCGGTTACTTTCAGGAGTAGCAAGCATTTCTCTTCTACAGCGGCGCTCTGAAAGGACTAGTGAGGCGCCTCAAAAATGTAATCTGGCGGTGACTTTGGGTTGTAGTAACAAGCATTTCTCTTCTACAGCGGCACTCTGAAAGCGCACCGCACGAAGAGTGCGCGTCCGAAGAGCCGAGCTCGTATCACACTTCCAATGCGAAGCGAGTTCGCGGTCTGCTGCTTAGTAGCTCTATCTGGAAGGTCATTGGCTTGACGCTGTGGAAATTCCAGGAAAGGTTTTATGATGGAAATTCCAAGAGGTGTACAGCGGCACTATACAGTACGGTAGACTGCAAAACACTGTGTACAGCGTACTGTATCCATCCATTCTCAGTCTTCAGCGTGGGATGTCCTGAACTGTCCATTTCTAAACGCGATCGATATCCACACGATTAGGTCCACTGACGCCGGCGGACCCTACACAGGGGCTACTGTGGATCTTGACTGTGGTTCGGTTCTGTTCTGGCTTGAAACGGGGACCAACTGCTGTTTGCTTGTGTCGGGTTCGAAGTGTTGTGAGAGATGCTTGCCAGGAACAGCTGTACATATCTACATCTGTACACTCAGCGACTCGTATCGTATGGCGTCATCGGAAGTTATTACAGCTACATACGCTGTTACACAAAACTGCCGGTGTTCTGAAACATCTCGTAAAGGGGTGATTCGAACCTTCAAGATACACCACAGTGTGGTCTCCACATTACTGCATTAGTCATTGCATTTTGTAGTACATCCTATTTTGCGAGATAAGCGAGCCGTTACATTCGTTTTTAAGGCTGCTTATCTCGAACCCAAGCTAACTCAGTCTGTCTGAACCAAAGCTCGAAGGATTTAGGTCAGATTAGGGAGCAGACACCAGCAGTCTCTAAGGGGTTAGGCGGTCTTTTTCGCTGGGGCGAAGAGAGAATTAGACCTCGCAATCGGTAGCGACGGGCGGAATCATCTGCACTGTTCTTGAAGTGGTGAAATTATAACGAGGATGGGGAATCTCGTGCTAGATCCGCAGATTCGCGAGTGGGTGCTGGTGCCGCTGACGGTGGTGATGATTCTCATCGGCGTGCTGCGACACTTCGTCGCGAAGCTCATGCGATCTGATACGAAGGTCGACGTGAAGGCGATTAAGGAAGGGTGAGAGGAGGGGTGAGGAGGGGGTGAGGAGGGGGTGAGTCTTACGGACGGGGAATAAAGAGATGAGCTGTTGCTAAAGCGCGTTAAATAAATGCTTTGCCCAGAGACGAGCTGTGGCCATTCCACCGAATTTAGGCCTTTGATTCGCGTCGAGGAAGCATAACAACGTTTATGTTCATTGTACTCCCCACGTTTTGTGTTCCGCTCAAGCACCCCTCCCCCTTCCCCCACCTCCCCCTTCCCCACTCCCTCCCCTCCCTCCTTCCCCCTCCCCCTCTCCCCCCGACCCCCCGACCCCCCGTTTTTCACTCCGCCAAGCAGCTTGTGATTTCACACGGAACCTGCGGGAAACTGAACGCTTCATTCCCTTTTCCCTTCCGCCCAAACACCCCTCCCCCCGTCCCTCCACTTCCCCCCTTCCCTCCCGTTCCCCCCCCCCCTTTCCTCCCTCTCTCTTGCCGCCTCCCGCAACCCTCTCCCCGCCCCCCGTGTTTCGTACCGCGCCAGGCAGCTCGTGATTCGCGCGCGCAACCTGAGGGGAGCGGGCGGCTTCATCCCCTCGCGCAGCTTCGCACAGCGGCGCCACCTGTTCTGCAACGAGGTGTGACTGTATGGGTGTGACTACGCAAGTGACTGTATGAGAGTGACGTATGGAAGTGACTGTAGATGGGAGTGACTGTATGGGGAAGAGGAGAGAGGCAAGGGTTGGCAAGTGTCAGAGCAAGTGTATGCACATGTGCGTGCACCTCAAAGCACATGTGCGTGCACCTCAAAGCACATGTGCGTGCACCTCAAAGCACATGTGCGTGCACCTCAAAGCACATGTGCGTGCACCTCAAAGCACATGTGCGTGCACCTCAAAGCACATGTGCGTGCACCTCAAAGCACATGTGCGTGCACCCCAAAGCACATGTGCGTGCACCTCAACGCACATGTGCGTGTGTGCGTGCGTGTGTGTGCTGTGCCATGTCTCTGTGCGTCTGGCAGGAGAACGGGCTGCTGCATGTGCGCAAGGGGCAGGGCAGCAACCCTCCCAGGCGGCCGTGTTGCCATTGCCCCCTTCTCATCGCGGGGTGTATTGTAGTCGTCTCAACTCATGCATTCGTGCTGTGTGTTCGTATGTCTCATGTAAATGTGTCCCTGGCAGGAGAACGGGCTGCTGCATGTGCCCAAGGGGCAGGGCGGCAACCCCCAGGCGGCCATGTTCTCAGATCCCAACGTGGCCATGGATATGATGAAGAAGAATCTGTCCATGATCATCCCCCAGGTACGGACACTTTACAAGACTCTATAACGAGTACATGAGAGAAGCAGGTACGGTGCTCCCTCCATCAGCCCCAGGCGGCCATGCTCTAACGTGGCCATGGATATGATGAAGAAGAATCTGTCCATGATTATTCGCCAGGTGAGATAGCAAGCCTTAATAACGTGTACGTAGTGTATGAGGTCAGGAATATTGCCCACCCACGCCCTGTTCTCCGACCCCAACGTGGCCATGGATATGATGAAGAAGAATTTGTCGATGATCATCCCACAGGTGAGGTAGCAAAGACTCTATAACAAGTACGTGGTGGATCCAGGTATGCTGCGCACTCCCTCTTGCTCCCTCCTCCTCTCCACCCCAACGTGGCCATGGATATGATGAAGAAGAACCTCTCCATGATTATCCCACAGGTTTGGTAGGAAGAATCTATAACGGGTACGTGGAAGATCCAGGTATGCTGCTCTCTCCAAGTTCTCAAATCCCAACGTGGCCATGGATATGATGAAGAATTTGTACATGATCATCCCACAGGTGAGAGTGCAAGACTCTATAACGAGTACATGAGAGATCTTGACAGCATCACCTCGACCCCAACATGGCCATGGATATGATGAAGAAGAATTTGTCCATGATCATTCCGCATGTACGGATAGACTGCAAGACCTTATAACGGGTACATGAGAGAACCAGGTCTAGGCTCCTGCCGTGATGACCCATAACGTGGCCATGGATGGGATGAAGAACAACCTCCCTATGATGATTCCGCAGGTATGGTTGGTTGCAAGACAGACCTTATAACGGGTACATGAGAGATCTTATCAGGTGGTGGCCTCCCATCTCACCTCCCCCTCCCCCTTCCACTCCTCAGTATCCCCCTTTCCCGCTTTTACCCCCCGCCCATCTCACCTCCCCCTCTTCCCCCGACCCAGTCTCTCACGTTCGCGTGGGTCAACTTCTTCTTTTCCGGATTCGTGGCGGGTACGTGGTGCAGAGGGGTGCTGGGGAGTGCAGAGGGGTGCAGGGGGGTGTAGAGTGGTGGAGGGGGGTGCAGGGGGTACATAGGGATGCAGGGTGGTGCTGGGTGGTGTTGGGTGGTGTAGAGGTCTTTACCCTACCACTTTATTTACCATATAGTATATGTACAAGAGCTACATTGATCATGCCATGGATTCATCCATGCAAACAAACAACTACTACCAGTACAAGGGCCTAGGATTCTCAACCGTCCGGACCAAGGTAAGCAAAGTCAGCAACCGAGGGCAGAGTGGCCTCGGAAGCCAACTGATCAGGGGCGACCGAGAGACGTATTCGTTCTCTCCCTCTCCCCTTGCGTCTCCCCTGTAGCCAAGGTGCGTGGACAAAGTCGCGCGCGTGGAACAAGTCGCGCGCGTGGATCAAGTCGCGCGCGCGGACCAAGGCGCGCGCGCAAACCAAGGCGCGCGCGCGGACCAAGGCGCGCGTGCGGACAATGGCGCGCGCGCGTACCATGGCGCGCGCGCGGACCAAGGCGCGCGCGCTGACCATGGCGCGCGCGCAGACCATGGCGCGCGCGCGGACCAAGGCGCGCGCGCAGACCAAGGCGCGCGCGCGGACCATGGCGCGCGCGCGGACAATGGCGCGCGCGCGTACCATGGCGCGCGCGCGGACCATGGCGCGCGCGCGGACCATGGCGCGCGCGCAAACCAAGGCGCGCGCGCGGACCATGGCGCGCGCGCGGACCATGGCGCGCGCGCGGACCATGGCGCGCGCGCGGACCAAGGCGCGCGCGCAGACCATGGCGCGCGCGCGGACCATGGCGCGCGCGCAGACCAAGGCGCGCGCGCGGACCAGGGCGCGCGCGCGGACCAAAGCGCGCGCGCGCAGACCAAGTCGCGCGCGCGGACCAAGGCGCGCGCGCGGACCAATGGACCAAGGCGCGCGCGTGGACCAAGGCGAGCGCGTGGACCAGGGCGCGCGCGTGGACCAAGTCGGCGCGCGTGGACCAAGTCGTGCCGTTCCCCTTGACTCAGAAGTTCCGGGGCATGTTGTAGAACGGCATAGACCTGAGCACAGTGGGATAGACGTGAGCTTCTGAACAGATTCAAGATTATTCTTTGCCCCTTTCCCCCTGTCCCTGTCTCTTTGCGTCTCCCCCCCAGCCAAGGTGCCCTTCCCCTTGACTCAGAAGTTTCGGGGCATGCTGCAGAACGGCATAGACCTGAGCACAGTGGATGTCAGCTTATGAACCGCCTCACAAGTATTCTCTGTATCGTTCCCCCTGTCCTTCTCTCCTTGCCTCCCCTCCCCCACAGCCAACGTGCCCTTCCCCTTGACTCAGAAGTTTCGGGGCATGCTGCAGAATGGGATAGACCTGAGCACAGTGAACGTCACCTTCATCACCTTCTGAACCTCATCAATTTTAGTGCTAAACCAATAGTCTCTTCACTGTTCCTTCCTGTCCCTGTCTCCTTGTTTTCCCATGCATGCAGCCAAGGTGCCCTTCCCCTTGACTCAGAAGTTTCGGGGCATGCTGCAGAATGGCATAGATCTGAGCACAGTGGACGTCAGCTTTGTCAGCAGCCGCTCGTGGTGCGTGTGACTGGATCATTTGTTTCTATAAGAGAGTGATTGTAGCCGTGTGCTAGTAACGAAGTGCAAAGGCATGCTGCTGCTTCAGGACTGCCAGTGACCTTCGCTTCTAACCCAGAAGTTCAGAGTGGTATAGATCTGAGCACAGTGGACGTCAGCTTTGTCAGCAGCCGCTCGTGGTGCGTATGACTGTAGCAGGCGTGTGATTATGATATGTCTAAGTGTTTGACGATGTGTGCACGGAGAGGCTTGTTGGTGTCCTTTGAAGTTTACTTTTGATTCAACTCAAAAGGCAGCAGCGTGATGTTGAAATGTCTAAGTGTTTGAAGATGTGTGCACGGAGAGGCTTGTTGGTTTGGTGCCCTTTTACCTCGAAAACTTCCCTTTTGACCCAGAGGCCCACAACGGCATAGACCTGAACTGAGCACAGTGGATGGCAGTTTCGTCAGCAGCCGCTCTTGGTGCGTGTGACTGTAATTAGTTGTGCCTGTAATCCTAGTGATTGTATCGTGGCTGTTTGTGTACTTCTAGCAAAGTGTAGAGGCTCCTTGTATTAGAGTGGTTGTGTGTTGCGCGATATGTTTCCGAGGGGTCACATAATCTGATTCCTTTCCGACCGACTGGTAATACGTTGCCCCTTTCTGGTCACTCGCATTCCCCCACGCCCTCCCTTATTCTGCATCCCCTTTACTAGGTACTTCCTTAATCTGTTTGGCCTTCGGGGACTCTTCACACTCATTCTTGGGGAGGACAATGGTGAGGATTCTTGGCCAACGGGTAGTGCCCTCTTAATATTTGATATGATTGCACTGCATCTGATTTAGCTTGATGTGCACACAGATTCTTTGACTTCCCTTCTGACCAGACCACGTCCTTTCCTCCTCAAGCATTTCAATCTGTCAAGTCAACCCCCCTGCGAGTACCTCGCAGCCCAACCCCTTCCTCTCGCAGCCCAACCCCATTCCCCTTCTCTGTCCCCATCCAGCCACAACGACACGCAGCGAATGATGGCCATGCAGATGGGTGCAGATGGGTGCAGATGGTTGCAGTGGGCGCTCTCTTTGTTGCACTTTCCTCCCCTTCTCTGTCCCCATCCAGCCACAGACGACACACAGCGAATGATGGCCATGCAGATGGGTGCGGTCAGCACAGATGGGTACAGATGGGTTCAGATCGGTGAAGATGGTAGCAGTGGGCGCCTCCTAACACTCTCCCTATTGCACACTCCTCATTCTTCCCCCCTCCCCATTCCCTGCAGCCACAGACGACACGCAACAAATGATGGCCATGCAGATGGGTGCAGATGGGTGAAGATGGGTTCACATGGGTGGAGATGGGTGCAGTGGGCGCCTCCTAATGCTCTCCCTGTTGCGCGCCCCCCAATCTCCCCTTCCCCATCCAGCCACGGACGACACGCAGCGAATGATGGCCATGCAGATGGGAGGGGTGGGCGCCGACCCTACCAAGGTACGTCTGTGACCTTACCAGATGGGTGCAGTGCGGTGGGCGCCGACCCTACCAAGGTACGTCTGTGACCTTACCAGATGGGTGCAGATGGTTGCAGTGCGGTGGGCGCCGACCCTACCAAGGTACGGAACCAAAACATCGTGTGTTTCCAATTTCCATGCTGTGTTTGTTGCCCCGAGTCGTGACTGGTCAACGTACACTTTGCTCTGGTTGTGCCAGCATGTGATAACCTGACCTGAACCCCTCTAAAAAATGCATACAGGCAGTTAGTATAGACGTTTGCTTATACCGTGTATATGTATTTACATACAGCCCGATGGCCACACAAATGGATGCATATTGCATCTTTCGATGCTCTTTTCCTGCCATGTGTTTTTCCAGGTGCTTTCAGCAGAGAAGGAAGCTCTGGAGCTAACACAACCAATGGACATGCTTCGTTTGTCGGAGCAGAGAGCTATTGAGGTTCTCAGAAAGAGAATGCAGCGCCTTGTACTGTAACATGTAGCAAGCCTCCAGTAACTGCATAGGTTTGAGCAGAGTAGAGGTAATACACTGTCACAAATTACAAAATGCGTCAGTGATAGATCAATGCATCACAAATATACTAATGACCAATGCATATGCTATGGGCAGGTAGTAACCAAATACAAAATGCATCACAAGGACTCCACACTCTGCGTTTGTGATATAGAATGTTGCTTTCATGCTAGCATCTCAGGAATGACCCAGGTTAGAAAGAGCTAAAACTGCTGCTGGAGCAAGCTTGTACAGGACAGTGTCCATTGTCCAAGTTTTTTGTGTGCACAAAGATGTTCCCCAATATATAAAATTTATCTGCACGTTGTTGGGAGTGGGTGTGGTGTACCGTATGTGGTCCAGTCAGCGGTTCATTGGTCCTGTTTTGAAGTTTGACGGTTAGGCAAACTTGCTTCGGGCAGTATGATGTCCCAAGATCATGACTCCCAGGGATTGAAGGGGGTACAAAAACATCCGAAGCCGGAAATAGTTTCTTTTTTGCTACCTAAGCTTTGAGGTTACCTTGTTAGATGTACCCTGGTGTTCCACGTTCACCGATTTAACCCTTCTTCCCGTTGAACTGGATTGAACTGCGCCGGAGCGTTTCGTTCCGTATATTCCTGCGATACTACCCATATTCTTCCTTCCGTGTCGGAGCATTACTCTTCGTGGAACGACCAGCATCGTGAACGCTCTCACAAAACGACACGGCGGGCATTTCCTCATCAAGTACAGCTCAGATGACTGGTGTTCAGGATTGCGTGGATGCCAGACCACCTCCCAGAGGCAAGGTGGATCACTAGCAGCGAATCCCCTCGGGCGCACTTTATTGGAAGGCCGCTGCGGCGGCTCCTCGTTGTTGGCACATTCCAAGACAATTGCCCTTTCTCGACGAGGACAGAGTGCAACTCGTCCACTGAATAAATGCACATGTCATAAAAAAGTGATGCCGCTGCCTTGTTTTAATTTGGATATGACTCACATGATTTGTGCAGTTTTTCCCCCCTATCTCTAAAATGTTTCCTCTGAAAGTGGATTTCCAGAATGTTATTATTAGTTGACGTGGATAGCTGCTTCTGATTCTCAATGCACCCTCCACCCACCGCTGGTGCGAGCCTCTTCCAGAAGCATGTGAAACGAGAAGGTGATTGACAGGGAGTTGTTGACGGGCTGCTGTGCTGATATCGTCCACCAGGCTTTGATGACCAAGTAATCGCCGAGAAGTATGGAGGCAACGTGGCATAGAGAGGCCGTTCGTTACTATTATCAACACCCTCCCATTTATGGGTAAACATCCGAAAACAAATCAGAGTTGAAGGTTATTTTCTGATTTGGAGTACTTGTTTTTTCCAAAGGACCGGAGATGTCGAGACTGGGAAGTGAGGGCTGTTCGAGGTCCCCAATGTTTGTGTCTCAGGGTTAGAGTGTAAGTTTTGGGGACGTGTCCGCTGAAGAAAGGAGTTAAAGAAGACTCCCGATGATGCAAGTAGCTTGAAATAATGCATGGCCAACATGATATCATGACAAACACAACCTTGCATTTTCGGCACCGCAAGTTCTGACGTGTAAACTGTTGCGCTGGTTGGAGCTTCGGTTTGGGAGCGTGTATGAGGACTGTTTCTCTCACGAGGTTACAGTTTGTTACAAATTGCAGCCTGTCATCCCTGTCCTTTCAATGTTCCACGTGCCTCGCAACTGCCCGCGAATCTTGTTCCCGCGCACCTTTGCCCAAGCTTCTGTACATATCGAGAGAATGGGTCACCTTGTCAGCGCCAAGAGAGCTTCTCACACGTTCGTTAGGCACTTGGCATTTCGTTCTGAAATGGTTTTCAGCATACAGAGCAACACAACGAAGAGGTGTGAGACACGTTTCGGTGCGTTTTACTGGGTTGAAACGTTGTTGAATGTGGTATAACTCAAAATCGTCTCTTTCGGATAATACTTGGTTGCGAACTGCGTACTTGGTTCTTACCAGAACAGATAAGTGACCCGCGCACAAATGGATCGGAATCTGGCTGGAGGTGTGACACTTGAGCGCAACAAGCGAAGGGAACCTCCCCCGCTCTTCCACGTGATTCGGGGGGATGGGGGGAGGGTAGCGGGCACTTGCGCACCACACAATTTTAATGGAAGCGCGGACGGGTACCAGACGTCCAGTAAGAATTAAATCAGTTCCGCAGCCGGGCCAGTGAAAAGCGTAGAAAGTTGCGCACTCCATCCACTCAGAAGCGCGGACAGTTGCGCGGCACATCCAGTCACACGCTTCTTTAGGTGCCTGGCTTCCACTCCTGTGGTCATTTTGCGTCGCTCGGGATTCTCTCCACCAACAGCTTTCAGTTTCTGATCCTCTCTATTCACGCCTTTCTGCTTTTGATTCTCTGACGAACCACACATTCCCTTCCAGCACGACTCTGGCTGTTTCTGCGGCCATCTGTGGCTCTCTTTCAGTCACGTCGGCTGAGCCGTTTTTCTTTACACCGTGACTGCTTGCTTTCTGGCCCGCTTCACGGTACACCTTGGGATTCGGGAATTAGAACCACCACATCTTACTGTCAGCAACCACTCCAGTGTCTTCTTTCACAGCCTCACAAGTTCACAGTCACATGCGAAAGGCATACACACCAGACAGATACGGTACGCCGTCCAGCCATTCTCAGACGCCAGCTACCTCATTCCGCGCGCTAACAGGAAGTGACCACCTACCGACTCCTACTCTTTTTTATCCCTCGGGTTCGCCATGCCGAAGCCGTGTGACGCCTGTCAAAGCGTCACGGCATTGCTCTACTGCCGAGCAGATTCCGCCTATCTCTGCGCCGGCTGCGACGGCAAGATCCATGGCGCAAACAAGCTCGCCTCGCGACACGAGCGCGTCTGGGTATGCGAAGTCTGCGAAATGGCGCCAGCGGCGGTAACCTGCAAAGCGGACGCCGCGGCGCTCTGCACGACGTGCGACGCCGACATTCACAATGCGAACCCGCTCGCGCAACGCCATGACCGAATCCCCGTCGTTCCGTTCTACGAAAGCCCTTCCATGGTCAAAGTCGCCCATATCCAATCCGCTGTAAACGGAATCGTCCTTCCTGGATCCGATCTCCTTCACCCCGGGGAACACGGCCTCAAGAGGCTCGGCCTACACTTATCCGAGCGGAACCACGAACATCTCGGTCATAACCATCATCCCGATAATGAGGAAGCCTGTGACGAGGATACAGCCGGCGATACGGCTAGTTGGCTCCTCAACCCGTCCCTCAACCCCGCCGCCGCCGCCGCCGCCGCCGCTGCCGCTGCCGCTAGTCGACTCGGCAGCAGCAGCGACCCGCTGTCGTCTCTCCCGTTCTCGAACATCGGTATCTACCCCCCATCTCTCGGTCTCAACCCGACGTCGCTCTTCCCCCACCCGAACGCCCTCTCTCTCATGATGAACCCCCCTACTTCCGCCCCCGCGAACCCCACCGCCGCCGCCACCGCCGCCGCCGCAGCCGCTGCCACGATGAGCGCGCTCCCGCAGTCTCGGCTCATGAAAGCAGGAGGCGCGGAGGGAGCAGCAGCAGCAGCAGGGGCAGGAGGAGCAGATATGTTGTTCGACGTCGACCCTTTCCTGAATCTTGAGACGTTTGCAGCTGCTAGCGCTCACAATCACAGCCACGGTCACCATGCTCTTGCTCATGGTCATCTTGCCGCGGCTGGGGGTCTACCGACTAGTGCGCAACTGCTGCAGAGCCTGGCTGCCGGAGCTGGCTTAGGTTCGGCAGGGCTAGGTCCGGCATGTTTGGGAGGCGCGGGTTTTGGTTCGGCGGGGTTCGGGAGGTTCGCGAGAGACAGCATGGTTCCTGTTCATTCGACCGATGTGCGTCAGTGCTCGCCGTCCGTTTCTAACGCGTCTTCGTTCGACACCCGCGCGCTTCGGGCGCTACCGCTCGCGACTCCGGGCACTTCAGGAAGTGTAAGTTATCGTGGATCTCGCGTTTTCTTTTTTATTTAGTTTGCTTTCTCTCTTTCTTTCCGCCTTCGACCATAGGTCGCACGATTATCTCTGGTTACACCCAATTATTGACTTATTATTCTGTTTTTCGTTCTTCTCACATTTGCAGCTGTCACCATCCGCGCTCGATAATGGAGTCGTGCCAGACGTACTGGGTCGACCTAACTCACTCGACGGAAGTATGGCTTTGCCGTTCGATGCTGTTTCGCATGGAGCGGCGGGAGCGACGGCTGGTAACAGCCCGATGGTGGCGATGGCTCGCGAAGCTCGCGTGATGCGGTACCGCGAGAAGCGAAAGAACCGGAAGTTTGAGAAGACGATTCGTTACGCGTCGCGAAAAGCTTACGCCGAGAGCCGACCCAGAGTCAAGGTAAGAGCACGCCTTCCTTCCTCCTGCTCTAAAGCTGTGGTATGTAACGCTGGTGTTATATCTAGTGCTTTACGTGCCTTTCTATCCGTGAATCGCGCAAGTCGACTAACTCGACTCCTCCTATTGTCTTTCTCTCTGCAGGGTCGCTTCGCCAAGAGAACTGGCAATACCGAGGAGGCTTCTACCGTGGAGTTTTCCGCTGCAACCACGGAGTCGAGCTTCGGAATGGTTGCCGCCTTTTCTTGATGCGCAAGTGTAAACACTTACACGTAACGTTCCATGAGATTAATTATGAATTTTATTAATCCCATAATTGATTTATCTTATTTTTGAGTTGGCTTCTACATTGAAGCTGCAGTACCTATTCCTAGAAGCCTCTACACAAGTAGTTTTTCTAGCTGCTCCATCTTTGTATTGCGTTCGTAACTTGAATTCAAATCATGGTAACAAAGTAGTGCAGCAGTGAAACACACAGCCACAGCCAACACGAGAAAAAAGAAAATGAATTGAATGAAAGCAGGTGGTCTTGCTGCTGCTGCTGCACCTTTGGCGTGGGAACACGTAGCGTGGGAACGCACAGCAGCAAAACACATCCACAGCCAACAGGTGCATAAACAGCATGAATTTGCTGAAAGCCGGTAGACTCGCTGTTGCTGCTGCAGCAGGAACACACGTGGTTACCATGGTAACACAAGCAGCACAGCACACATCCACAGCTCTGTGAATAACGTGAATGTGTCCAATGCTTGAAGCCGATTTGCTGGTGGGGAACCCTGCTGCTGCTGCTGTTGCTGGTGCAGGTGCACACATGGTTACCATGGTAACAGAAGCAGCACAGCAAAGCACACAGCCACAGCTGTGTGAACCACTTGAAGGAATCTATTGGTTGAAGCCGCTTTGCCATACCCTGGTGGGGTTCCCTGCTGCTGCTGCTGCTGCTGCGTGCCATTGGCTGTTGGTACACTGTTCTGCTGAGAGGCAGGCACTGGTGCTGATGTGGATGGTGCTGATGTGGACGGTGCTGATGTGGACGGTGCTGATGTGGACGGAGGAGTGGGGCCAGGGAGGGAAGCGGGAGCAGGGGAGGGCGAAGAGGAGGGGGCAGAGGAGGGAGCAGCGGGAGAGGAGGAGGGAGCGGAAGAGGATGACGCAGGAGCAAGGCTGCTTGATGTTGGAGCAGAGGAGGGGGCAGAGGAAGGGGCAGCGGAGGGGGCAGAGGAAGGGGCAGCGGAGGGGGCAGAGGGGTAAGGGAAAACGGGAGTAGAGGGAGGAGCAGAGGGGGCAGCAGACGGGGAAGCAGATGAGGGAGCAGAGGGCGGAGCAGCGGGCGGAGCAGAGGGCGGAGCAGAGGGAGGAGCAGAGGAGGGAGCAGAGGGGGAAGGAGAGGGGGGAGAAGAGGGAGGGGCAGAGGGAAGAGCAGAGGGACCAGAGGGGGGAGCAGACGGAGCAGCAGAGGGGGGAGCAGAGGAGGGGGCAGAGGGGGGAGAAAAGGAGGGGGCAGAGGGAGGAGCAGATGGGTGAGCAGAGGGGGGAGCAGATGGGTGAGCAGAGGGGGGAGCAGATGGGAGTACAGAGGGGGGAGAAGAGGGGCGAGTAGAGGGGGGAGCAGCGGGAGGAGCAGAGGGGAGAGCAGAGGGGGGAGGGGGAGAGGGAGCAGCGGAAGAAGAGGGAGCAGCAGCAGGCGGGGAGGCGTTGGCAGGGCAGGTCTGGTTGGGTGCACGGTCGAGGCAGTTACCCGCATACCTGCATGGGGGGAATGGGGTGCGCACATGGGATATCGCACGTCATGGCATGGCATGGCATGGCATGGCATGGTAGATTTTTGAGGTGCCTGGCCTCCTGGTTTGCTGCGTTCGCCAGGCAACCATACCATACCTGCATGAGAGGCTGATATCATGGGCATTGGCATGGGAGCATGTGCTGTGCACTTGCATGGGATCTTGCAAGTCTAGTGTGGCAAAAAGCATCAGTGCTTGGAAGTGTTTGGGTAACCGGCACAGGTTATCTGGGCGCCCAAGAGGGAAGAACCGGGTGTGATGAGTCTGCTTTTGAGTCGACTCAAAAACAGACCTGCACCGGTTACTTGGGCGCCTAAGAGTGAAGAACGGGGTGTGATGAGTCTGCTTTTGAGTCGACTCAAAATCAGACCTGCATTTTGGGAATAAAAAAAAAAACAGATCTGTACAGGATACTTGGGCGCCTAACAGTGAAGAACCAGGTCACGCCAGGGGAACTCCCATGAAATGGAAATTGGATTGGTTTGGGATCGAAGGGAGTGGGTGGACCCTTGAGGGTGTTTTTGAGAATTCTCAAAAACACCCTGCAAAAACACCCTTTTGAGAATTCTCAAAAACGCCAGGGGAACTCGCATGAAGTGGAAATTGGATTGGTTTGGGATCGAAGGGAGTGGGTGGGCCCTTGAGGGGAACGCCCTTGAGGTGAGTTTTGATATGAGACCCTTGAGCCTTTCAGTCTTTTGAAATGGTGTCGCGAAAGTGGCATGGCAGGAAAACTTACGCGAAATAGAGATTGGATTTCTTCGGGATGGGAGGGAGTGGGCCCGTGAGGTGGTTGTAAGATATGACCCTGTTGCCATGGGAGGGGAGGGGCGGGGGTAGGGAGAGGAGAGCAGCGAGTAGGCAGGGAGAAGGCATGGAGAAGGCAGGGAGAAGGCAGGGAGAAGGCAGGGAGAAGGCAGGGAGAAGGGAACGAGAGACAGAAGGCAGTGAGCTGGGATGTTACGCAGTGGGCCCGTGAGGTGGTTGTAAGATATGACCCTGTTGCCATGGGAGGGGAGGGGCGGGAGTAGGGAGAGGAGAGCAGCGAGTAGGCAGGGAGAGGGGAACGGGAGACGGAGGGCAGTGAGTTGGGATGGGAGGGAGTGGGCCCGTGAGGTGGTTGTAAGATATGACCCTGTTGCCATGGGAGGGGAGGGGCGGGAGTAGGGAGACGAGAGCAGCGAGTAGGCAGGGAGAAGGCAGGGAGAAGGCAGGGAGAAGGCAGGGAGCTGGGATGTTAGGCAGTGGGCCCGTGAGGTGGTTGTGGAATTATGTCTCTGTTGACGTGAGAAGGGAGAAGGGAGAAGGGAGAAGGGAGAAGGGAGAAGGGAGAAGGGAGAAGGCAGAAGGGAGAAGGGAGAAGGGAGAAGGGAGAAGGGAGAAGGGAGAAGGGAGAAGGGAGAAGGGAGAAGGGAGAAGGGAGAAGGGAGAAGGGAGAAGCGAGAAGGGAGAAGGGAGAAGGGAGAAGGGAGAAGGGAGAAGGGACAAGGGAGAAGGGAGAAGGGAGAAGGGAGAAGGGAGAAGGGAGAAGCGAGAAAGGAGAAGGGAGAATATTCAGACGAATTTTTATGCACTGTGCAGCTAAAATATGAGAGACGATGACACGTGCCACTCACTCACAGCAATGACACGTGCCACCCACTCACAGCAGTCACTCCAACCCTCGGAAATGCCAAAAGTCAGATTCTCACTCGCAGCAATGTCAGGCGTGGCAGGGCTGGCAGGCAGCACAGCTGTGCTGGGATGCTCCCAGACAGGAAGTTGCGCTGACAGGCGGCAGGTGGTTGACTGTTGCGCCAAAAGTCGGATTCTCACTCACAGCAATGTCAGGCGTGGCAGGGCTGGCAGGCAGGCCGGAATCGACCCACTCAGCTCGCCGTGACTCGGGTGGAGCTCGTAGATGCATGACAGGCGCAGCTGTGCTGATAGGAGGGGTACTCAACGAGGGTTGCTCACTCACAGCAATGTCGGGCGTGGCAGGGCTGACAAACAGACCAGAATCGACCCACTGAGCTCATTGTGACTCAGGGGGCGTAAATGTATGACAGGCGGCACAGCTGTGCTGGGATGCTCCCCTCCCAGTGATATGGTTCCACTTGAGACACAGGTTGTTGAGCGAGTCAAGACTTACAGCAGTGTCAGGCCCGTTGCGGTCGAGATACAGGTTGCTGAGCGAGTCAAGACTTACAGCAGTGTCAGGCCCGTTGCGGTCGAGATACAGGTTGCTGAGCGAGTCAAGACTTACAGCAGTGTCAGGCCCGTTGCGGTCGAGATACAGGTTGCTGAGCGAGCCTAGGGGCATACAGGTGGTTGATACAAGGGCTGCTGCTCACTTACAGTAATGTCACATGCGGCAGGGCAGGCAGGCAGGCAGGCAGGCAGGCAGGCAGGCAGGCAGGGATCGATCCATTGAGCTCATTGCGACTCAGTTTGAGGTCGTAGATGTATGACAGGCGGCACAGCTGTGCTGATAGCAGGGATGCTGCTCACTTACAGCAATGTCACACGCGGGAGGGCAGGCAGGCACGCCGGAACCGTCCCATTGAGCTCATTGTGACCCAGGTTGAGGTCGTAGATATACGACAGATGGCACAGCTCTGCCGGGATGCTCCCAGTGAGGCGGTTGTTCCCGAGATAGAGCTTGTTGAGCGACTCCAGACTGCCGAGAGTTGCTGGGATGGGGCCGGAAAGGTTGTTTCCGTCGAGGAAGATCTCCACTAGGCGGGTGAGGGCGCCTAGAGACGGCGGGATGGGGCCTGTCAGGTTGCAATACTCGAAAGCCCTGATAGGAAGGAAGGGAGTGGCAGGGACAGCAAGAGGGAGGCGGTTTCCGTCGAGAAAGATCTCCACTAGGCGGGTGAGGGCGCCTAGAGACGGCGGGATGGGGCCTGTCAGGTTGCAATACTCGAAAGCCCTGATAGGAAGGAAGGGAGTGGCAGGGACAGCAAGAGGGAGGCGGTTTCCGTCGAGAAAGATCTCCACTAGGCGGGTGAGGGCGCCTAGAGACGGCGGGATGGGGCCTGTCAGGTTGCAATACTCGAAAGCCCTGATAGGAAGGAAGGGAGTGGCAGGGACAGCAAGAGGGAGGCGGTTTCCGTCGAGAAAGATCTCCACTAGGCGGGTGAGGGCGCCTAGAGACGGTGGGATGGGGCCTGTGAGATTGCAACACTCGAAAGCCCTGATAGGATGGAAGTGGTGGTGGGGGGGGGGGGGGGAGTGGACAAGGGGGAGGGAGACGGGCAGGGAAAAAGGCAGAGCTTGTTGAGCGACGCGAGACTGCCGAGAGTTGCTGGGATGGGGCCCGAGAGGCGGTTGGAGGAGAGGAAGATTTCAACGAGGAGGTGGAGGGAGGCTAGAGATGGCGGGATGGGGCCGGTCAGGTTGCAATACTCGAAAGCCCTGATAGGAGGGAACGGGGGAGGGATGAACAGAGTGGGGGACGAGAATGGAAGGGACGGGCAGAAGGAATGCGGTTGCTGGGGCGATAGTGTTCGAGTAGGGGGTTCAAGGAGGCGACAACCGGCTGAGAGGGAGCAGATTGAGTGACTCTTCTGTGCCTATAACCGTTCTCAACCGTCCAAAAACCCTTCAGGCTCAAAGAAAGTCCTGTACTCGGCCTCTTCACACGCGCAGAAAGCATGGTCAACCGTTTCAGACTCAGGACGTTCGAGTTCTCGGCCTTCCCACTCTCGCAAGAATTCGCGCTCTCAAGCCTTTTTCACGCACAGCACAGCACAGAAACTCAAGCTTTTGCCCCTCCCACATTTACAGGGATGGTCCCTGCCACACTCACAGGGACTCGAGCAACCAGAGGTTTCCCAAGAAGGCTGGGACGGATCCGTTGATGCCCTTGTTGTAACTCAGGTCCCTGCAGGTGCAATGCAGGTACGAGGGAAGGAGGGGGGAAGGGAGGGAGGGGAGAGTGGTGGAGGGCTGGCTGAGGAGGAAGGAAGCTGGGACGGATCCGTTGATGCCCTTGTTGTAACTCACGTCCCTGCAGGCGCCATGCAGGTACGAGCGCGAGGGAAGGAAGGGGCAGAGAGAAGGAGAAGATTCGAGAGTTTTTTACCCTCTCACACTCATGGGGACTCGAGCAGCCAGAGGTTTCCCAAGACTGCTGGGACGGATCCGTTGATGCCCTTGTTGTAACTCAGGTCCCTGCAGGTGCAATGCAGGTGCACGTATAAGGGTACATATGATATGAGCAAACACGACCCACTCGCTCACAGGTACATGAGGCTATTGCGGCGTTTGAAGCTGCTCCATATAGTCACACACTTCTTCCTTCTGTGCCGTGCTGTGTTTGCTCCAAGTATTTCACTCTGAGCAGACAAGCCCCACTCACTCACTCACTCACTCACTCACTCACTCACTCACAGGCCCATAAGGGCGTTGAGGCGTTTGAAGCTGTGTCATGGGGTCACTTCACTGTAATTATAACTGTATAAAGGTGTACATATGTGCGACCAAGACCCCCCCACCCACTCACAGGTACATGAGGGTGTTGAGGCGACCAAAGCTGGCAGGGATGGGGCCTTGCAGGGAGTTGCCTGCACAATAGCTGTGGGTGCGAGAGAGCATGGGGCAGATGGTGGGATGAGATGAGAGGGAGCACGGCGGGGGAGAGTGAGTGAGAGGACCAACTGAAGCACAAACATGGGGCCCTTCCAGAAAGATTCTCGCCCGCAAAGGAACAAGGCAAGAGCGCAGAGAGGCAAACAGAAGCAGAGAGGCAAACAGAAGCAGAGAGGCAAACAGAAGCAGAGAGGCAAACAGAAGCAGAGAGGCAAACAGAAGCAGAGAGGCAAACAGAAGCAGAGAGGCAAACAGAAGCAGAGAGGCAAACAGAGAGGCAAACAGCAGCAGAGAGGCAAACAGCAGCAGAGAGGCAAACAGAAGCAGAGAGGCAAACAGAAGCAGAGAGGCAAACAGAAGCAGAGAGGCAAACAGAAGCAGAGAGGCAAACAGAAGCAGAGAGGCAAACAGAAGCAGAGAGGCAAACAGAAGCAGAGAGGCAAACAGAGAGGCAAACAGCAGCAGAGAGGCAAACAGCAGCAGAGAGGCAAACAGAAGCAGAGAGGCAAACAGAAGCAGAGAGGCAAACAGAAGCAGAGAGGCAAACAGAAGCAGAGAGGCAAACAGAAGCAGAGAGGCAAACAGAAGCAGAGAGGCAAACAGAAGCAGAGAGGCAAACAGAGAGGCAAACAGCAGCAGAGAGGCAAACAGCAGCAGAGAGGCAAACAGAAGCAGAGAGGCAAACAGAAGCAGAGAGGCAAACAGAAGCAGAGAGGCAAACAGAAGCAGAGAGGCAAACAGAAGCAGAGAGGCAAACAGAAGCAGAGAGGCAAACAGAAGCAGAGAGGCAAACAGAAGCAGAGAGGCAAACAGAAGCAGAGAGGCAAACAGAAGCAGAGAGGCAAACAGAAGCAGAGAGGCAAACAGAAGCAGAGAGGCAAACAGAAGCAGAGAGGCAAACAGAAGCAGAGAGGCAAACAGAAGCAGAGAGGCAAACAGAAGCAGAGAGGCAAACAGAAGCAGAGAGGCAAACAGAGAGGCAAACAGCAGCAGAGAGGCAAACAGCAGCAGAGAGGCAAACAGAAGCAGAGAGGCAAACAGAAGCAGAGAGGCAAACAGAAGCAGAGAGGCAAACAGAAGCAGAGAGGCAAACAGAAGCAGAGAGGCAAACAGAAGCAGAGAGGCAAACAGAAGCAGAGAGGCAAACAGAAGCAGAGAGGCAAACAGAAGCAGAGAGGCAAACAGAAGCAGAGAGGCAAACAGAGAGGCAAACAGCAGCAGAGAGGCAAACAGCAGCAGAGAGGCAAACAGAAGCAGAGAGGCAAACAGAAGCAGAGAGGCAAACAGAAGCAGAGAGGCAAACAGAAGCAGAGAGGCAAACAGAAGCAGAGAGGCAAACAGAAGCAGAGAGGCAAACAGAAGCAGAGAGGCAAACAGAGAGGCAAACAGCAGCAGAGAGGCAAACAGCAGCAGAGAGGCAAACAGAAGCAGAGAGGCAAACAGAAGCAGAGAGGCAAACAGAAGCAGAGAGGCAAACAGAAGCAGAGAGGCAAACAGAAGCAGAGAGGCAAACAGAAGCAGAGAGGCAAACAGAAGCAGAGAGGCAAACAGAAGCAGAGAGGCAAACAGAAGCAGAGAGGCAAACAGAAGCAGAGAGGCAAACAGAAGCAGAGAGGCAAACAGAAGCAGAGAGGCAAACAGAAGCAGAGAGGCAAACAGAAGCAGAGAGGCAAACAGAAGCAGAGAGGCAAACAGAAGCAGAGAGGCAAACAGCAGCAGAGAGGCAAACAGAAGCAGAGAGGCAAACAGAAGCAGAGAGGCAAACAGAAGCAGAGAGGCAAACAGAAGCAGAGAGGCAAACAGAAGCAGAGAGGCAAACAGAAGCAGAGAGGCAAACAGAAGCAGAGAGGCAAACAGAAGCAGAGAGGCAAACAGAAGCAGAGAGGCAAACAGAAGCAGAGAGGCAAACAGAAGCAGAGAGGCAAACAGAAGCAGAGAGGCAAACAGAAGCAGAGAGGCAAACAGAAGCAGAGAGGCAAACAGAAGCAGAGAGGCAAACAGAAGCAGAGAGGCAAACAGAAGCAGAGAGGCAAACAGAAGCAGAGAGGCAAACAGAAGCAGAGAGGCAAACAGAAGCAGAGAGGCAAACAGAAGCAGAGAGGCAAACAGAAGCAGAGAGGCAAACAGAAGCAGAGAGGCAAACAGAAGCAGAGAGGCAAACAGAAGCAGAGAGGCAAACAGAAGCAGAGAGGCAAACAGAAGCAGAGAGGCAAACAGAAGCAGAGAGGCAAACAGAAGCAGAGAGGCAAACAGAGAGGCAAACAGCAGCAGAGAGGCAAACAGCAGCAGAGAGGCAAACAGAAGCAGAGAGGCAAACAGAAGCAGAGAGGCAAACAGAAGCAGAGAGGCAAACAGAAGCAGAGAGGCAAACAGAAGCAGAGAGGCAAACAGAAGCAGAGAGGCAAACAGAAGCAGAGAGGCAAACAGAAGCAGAGAGGCAAACAGAAGCAGAGAGGCAAACAGAAGCAGAGAGGCAAACAGAAGCAGAGAGGCAAACAGAAGCAGAGAGAGGCAAACAGAAGCAGAGAGGCAAACAGAAGCAGAGAGGCAAACAGAAGCAGAGAGGCAAACAGAAGCAGAGAGGCAAACAGAAGCAGAGAGGCAAACAGAAGCAGAGAGGCAAACAGAAGCAGAGAGGCAAACAGAAGCAGAGAGGCAAACAGAAGCAGAGAGGCAAACAGAAGCAGAGAGGCAAACAGAAGCAGAGAGGCAAACAGAAGCAGAGAGGCAAACAGAAGCAGAGAGGCAAACAGAAGCAGAGAGGCAAACAGAAGCAGAGAGGCAAACAGAAGCAGAGAGGCAAACAGAAGCAGAGAGGCAAACAGAAGCAGAGAGGCAAACAGAAGCAGAGAGGCAAACAGAAGCAGAGAGGCAAACAGAAGCAGAGAGGCAAACAGAAGCAGAGAGGCAAACAGAAGCAGAGAGGCAAACAGAAGCAGAGAGGCAAACAGAAGCAGAGAGGCAAACAGAAGCAGAGAGGCAAACAGAAGCAGAGAGGCAAACAGAAGCAGAGAGGCAAACAGAAGCAGAAGCAGAGAGGCAAACAGAAGCAGAGAGGCAAACAGAAGCAGAGAGGCAAACAGAAGCAGAGAGGCAAACAGAAGCAGAGAGGCAAACAGAAGCAGAGAGGCAAACAGAAGCAGAGAGGCAAACAGAAGCAGAGAGGCAAACAGAAGCAGAGAGGCAAACAGAAGCAGAGAGGCAAACAGAAGCAGAGAGGCAAACAGAAGCAGAGAGGCAAACAGAAGCAGAGAGGCAAACAGAAGCAGAGAGGCAAACAGAAGCAGAGAGGCAAACAGAAGCAGAGAGGCAAACAGAAGCAGAGAGGCAAACAGAAGCAGAGAGGCAAACAGAAGCAGAGAGGCAAACAGAAGCAGAGAGGCAAACAGAAGCAGAGAGGCAAACAGAGAGGCAAACAGCAGCAGAGAGGCAAACAGCAGCAGAGAGGCAAACAGAAGCAGAGAGGCAAACAGAAGCAGAGAGGCAAACAGAAGCAGAGAGGCAAACAGAAGCAGAGAGGCAAACAGAAGCAGAGAGGCAAACAGAAGCAGAGAGGCAAACAGAAGCAGAGAGGCAAACAGAAGCAGAGAGGCAAACAGAAGCAGAGAGGCAAACAGAAGCAGAGAGGCAAACAGAAGCAGAGAGGCAAACAGAAGCAGAGAGGCAAACAGAAGCAGAGAGGCAAACAGAAGCAGAGAGGCAAACAGAAGCAGAGAGGCAAACAGAAGCAGAGAGGCAAACAGAAGCAGAGAGGCAAACAGAAGCAGAGAGGCAAACAGAAGCAGAGAGGCAAACAGAAGCAGAGAGGCAAACAGAAGCAGAGAGGCAAACAGAAGCAGAGAGGCAAACAGCAGCAGAGAGGCAAACAGCAGCAGAGAGGCAAACAGCAGCAGAGAGGCAAACAGCAGCAGAGAGGCAAACAGCAGCAGAGAGGCAAACAGCAGCAGAGAGGCAAACAGCAGCAAGAGGCAAACAGCAGCAGAGAGGCAAACAGCAGCAGCGAAGCGAACACTGTTTGAGCAAGGTGTCCCATCCCATTCCGAGGCTGGCCCTAAACCCAAGCATGAATGCCAACAGACTAAGGGAAGAAGCCAAGCCAGAGCACAGAGAAACGGAGCAAGCAGCAGCACTGCCCTTCAACTAAGCGGAGAAGCTAACAGCGCTGCCCCATACCCTGAGCCAGGAGCTCAACCCATGGGGTTTGTGTCGTTGTGTTAAGAACAACAAGAGTTGATGGAAGTAAGGCCTCCGCAGCCCACCTGTCCGTTACTGACAACAGCAGCACAGCACTTCCCTTTAACTAAGCGGACAAGCTAACAGCAATGCCCCATACCCTGAACCAGGGGCCCAACCCCCCCCCCCCCCTCCTCCTCCCAAAACCCCTAAAGCCCTTAAACCCGAAACGACGAAACCTGAAGCCTACAGTGCGGCGAGATTGGGAAGGTTCCCGAGCGCTGGTGGGATGGGACCTGAGAGGCCGTTTTCATCCAATGCTCTGATGGGAGGGGTGGGATGGGATGGGATGGAATGGGATGGGATGGGGGAGGAACGGGATGGGATGGGGGAGGAATGGGATGGGATGGGGGAGGAATGGAATGGGATGGGATGGGATGGAGGAATGGAATGGAATGGGATGGGATGGGATGGGATGGAGGACAGTATGGATGTGCGTTTGTGGTCTGGTGCTCTGTGGGTGCGGGAGAGGGGGGAGGTGTTTCACGAGTGCTGGTGGGATGGGACCTGAGAGGCCGTTTTCATCCAATGCTCTGGGGAAAGAAGTGGGAGGAATGGGATGGGATGGGCGAGGAATGGGATGGGGGAGGAATGGCATGAGATTGTGCTTGAGTCTGTTTCTCTGAGTCGCCTCAATATACCTGAGAGAGGTGACTATTGTCATGTGGATTGTGGGGAGATGAGAGATGGGATGGGGAACAGCATGAGAGTGTGACTGTCGACTAGTGCGATGTGGGGGGAGAGAGAGGGATGAAATGGGAGTTGGCACAAGAGAGTGACTGACTCGCATTGAACCGCATTGACTCGCTTTGAACCGCATTGACTCGCATTGACTCGCATTGACTCGCATCGTCGATTCGCATTGACTTACACACAACCATGGATGGATACCAATCATCACACTCACATTGATTCACAGTGACTCGCATTCACTCACATTAATTACATTGACTCGCATTGACTCACATTGATTCAAGGGCAGAGGCACCAGCTAGGCTGGCGGGAATAGGGCCGGACAGCCGGTTCGAATAGAGCTCACTGAGAGAAGGGGAGGGGAGGGGAGACGGCAGGGAAGGAGAGGAGAGAACGATCTAAGCAGGGCAGAGAGACTGGAGAAGGGAGGAAAAGGAAGGAGATGGGAGGGGAGGGGCTGCAGTTACTTGGAGTGAAATCAGCGCAGGCATGGACTAGGCATGCATGGATGGATGCGAACAGTTTGCTCGTAAAGGTTAGGTAACTGCAAGTGCATTTTCTTTAAGCTAAGGGTCAACCATACAGCACTTTTAGCTGCTTCAGGCTTCCAAAGCACCCTGGATTTACAACGTACTAATATTCTTGCATCGGTTTTAGCTAAGTGTCATGATTACAGCACTCTTAGCTTCTTGAGGCTTCCGAGCCACTCTGGGAGCGGTCCTGAGAGCTCATTGCCTGGGACGGACCTGGAGACAGGGAGAGAGGAGGGCAGGGAGGGGGAGGATGAGTGAGATGGACAGTGGACGAGGGGGATTCACAGCCACTCTGGGAGCGGTCCTGAGAGCTCATTCCCTGGGACGGACCTGGAGAAAGGGAAAGAGGAGCGTAGGGAGGGGGAAGATGGTGGAAAGGAGGATGAGTGAGATGGATAGCGGACGGGGGCTTCGAAGCTGCTCTGGGGGCGAACCCAGAGAGCTCATTGCTTAGTAGGATGGACCATTTTTTAGGCGCCTCAACTTCCAACCCACTCAGGGAGCGAACCCGGAGAGCTCATTGTCTGGGACGGACCTGGTGACAGGGAAAGAGGAGGGCAGGGAGGGGGAGGAGGGAGATGGGATGGATTCTTTAGGCGTTTCAAAGACACTCTGAAACAGATCCTGAGAGCTGATTGGCTGGGATGGATCCGGTGAGAGCAGGGGATGGAGGGGGGTGTGAGCAAGGTGAGCAGCAAGGTGAGAGGTGTGTGCGCTGGGGGACAAAGCACGAGGGAGCAGTGTATGTGAGCAAGGTGAGCAGCAGTGTGAGAGGTGCAACTCACAATTGCTGCAAGAGCCGGCAGTGCATGGTGCAACGTGTGCAGCCTGTGTGCAGCAATGTGTGCAGCAATGTGAGCAAGGTGAGCAGCAATGTGAGCAAGGTGAGAAGAAAAGTGAGAGGAATAACTAACAATTGCTGCAAGAGGCCGCAGTGCTGAAGGGTTGACGGCAGCTGCCCTGAGAGGTGGTTGCTGCCAAGGTCACTGGGAAGGGGGAGAATGGAGTGAGGCGAGGGGCATGGGGTGATGGAGGGATGGGTGTGAAGAGAAGCAAGCGTCAGAGGGACATGGCAATGAATGCTGCAAGAGGCGGTAGGCAGTGCTGGAGGGTGGAGGGCAGCTGGCCTGAGAGGCGGTTGCTGCCAAGGTCACTGGGAAGGGGGGGAATGGAGTGAGGCGAGGGGCATGGGGTGATGGAGGGATGGGTGTGAAGAGAAGCAAGTGTCAGAGGGACATGGCAATGAATGCTGCAAGAGGCGGTAGGCAGTGCTGGAGGGTGGAGGGCAGCTGGCCTGAGAGGCGGTTGCTGCCAAGGTCACTGGGAAGGGGGGGAATGGAGTGAGGCGAGGAGCATGGGGTGATGGAGGGATGGGTGTGAAGAGAAGCAAGCGTCAGAGGGACATGGCAATGAATGCTGCAAGAGGCGGTAGGCAGTGCTGGAGGGTGGACGGCAGCTGGCCTGTAAAGTGGTTGCTGGCAAGGTAACTGGGAGGAGGAGGGGGACATGTGTGGGTAGCGTGAGTGAGCGAGTGAGTGGGAGACAGGGGGTCATGTGCAGCGAGGAGGGAGGCATGTGAAGGGAGGGGGAAGTGATGGGGGAATGAAGTGCGGCGGATGCATATATGAGGGAGGGAGAGATGGAGTGAAGCGAGTATGGGAGTGGGAGACAGGGGGTCATGTGCAGCGAGGGGGGAAGGCATGTGAAGGGCGAGAGGAAGTGCCAGGGGCATGGAGTGCGGCGGACGCAGATATGAGGGAGGGAGAAATGGAGTGAAGCAAGGATGGGAGTGGGAGAGAGAGAGGGGGTCATGTGCAGCGAGGGGGGGGGGGAGGCATGTGAAAGAAGGGGGAGGAAGTGACGGGGGCATGGAGTGCGGCGGACGCAGATATGAGGGAGGGAGAAATGGAGTGAAGCAAGGATGGGAGTGGGAGAGAGAGAGGGGGTCATGTGCAGCGAGGGGGGGGGGGGAGGCATGTGAAAGAAGGGGGAGGAAGTGACGGGGGCATGGAGTGCGGCGGACGCAGATATGAGGGAGGGAGAAATGGAGTGAAGCGAGTATGGGAGCTGCGAGGAGGGGGAGGCAAATGGAAAGAAACAAACAGTTGCGAGGCACAAAAAGACAGGCACATTGACTCGACGTGAACCAAACTCTTGCACACCCACACGCAACTAGTCCCCCTTCCCCCCGCTCGCCTCCCCTCCGCTTGCCCCCGAAAAAAGAAAGAAGAAGAAGAAGAAGAAGAAGAAGGAGGTAAAGAAGCGTACAGAGTTTGCAAGGTCTTGAGGTCCCCCAGGGTGCTTGGCAGAGTGCCATTAAAACGGTTGTCAGCGAGACGCCTGCACACATAGGGAGGGGAGAGAGGGACGCGTTTTGAGGCGCCTCAAAAGTCGTTGCAAGCTCTTGAGGTCCCGCAGGGTGCTTGGCAGAGTGCCGTTGAGACGGTTGTCAGCAAGGCGCCTGCACACATGGGGCTTAGCTGGCGGCTAAGCTGCGGTTTAACGCAGCACCAAGCTCTTACGAAGCAGCTAAGCTGCTAACGGAATACCGCCAGCGCTGGAGCGTGTGCCTCCAGCGGGCGCAGGCCAATGCCCTCCGCACCAAGACGAACGAGGCCTTGGCGGCGGACGAGCTTGGCATGCAGGGACCCATTGTCCCTCTTAGTGAGGGGCAGCTGCACCAGTTGATTGAGCCCCCGTTCGACCACTAGGGTCGGACAGAGGGGGGGGCGGAAGTGGGTTAGATGTGTGGTAGGCAGGATACCGGTTTGATGTGTGTTTGGCATGTGTTTGCACCTTCCTCTGTATCACCCCATAATTAATACAAGGTCCATTCGAGAGAGAGAGGGCGGACGGAAGGGGGCGGGAGTGAGTAGAGGATAGGTGTTAGTTAGGAAGCTTGTATGCCATCCATGTGTTTGCATCTTCCCGTGTACCTCCCATCAATCAATACAAGGGCCATTCGAGAGAGACGTGTGGAGAGTTTAGGAATGTCATGGCACGTTGGCCAATAGATACAAGGACCGTCCGAGACGTGTGGACAACAACGGAAAAAAGAAGCGCCCCAAAATTCTGTACCTGCACCAACCATTTAGTGTAACGTACACATTCGCTTACAGTAAGACAACTGCACTCACAAAAAGAAATCCTCACGTACAAAAAGAGAACTCACACGGTCACTAGCTTTAAGAGTCGTGATCCCAGCCACTCGGGAACTGGCCCTCCCAATTGATTGGCCTCTAAGGATCTGAAGGGGATGGATGGACGGAGGGAGGGAGGGAGAGAGGAAGGGAGGGAGGCAAATAATTCCCCAGCCACTCGGGAACTGGCCCTTCCAATTGATGGCCCTGTAAAGACCTGAAGGGATGGATGGAAGGAGAAAGGGAGGGAGGTAGGGAGGGAAGGAGGGAGGGAGGGAGGGAGGGAGGGAGGGAGGGAGGGAGGGAGGGAGGGAGGGAGGGAGGGAGGGAGGGAGGGAGGGAGGGAGGGAGGGAGGGAGGGAGGGAGGGAGGGAGGGAGGATGTCGGGGAAAATGGAATGAGAAAGGGAAAGGGGACTCAAACCCCATCCCTTTTCGCTTGAAATGATGGGGAACAAGTCACTTACACGGTGAAATAATCCGCGAAACATAAGTGGGGGGCTGAATGCATGTGCATGAGGGGCTGACAGGAGGGTGAGGTTGGAGAGAGCGTACAGTACAACAGTTCTGGGAGGGGCCCTGTGGAAGAGAGTGGGACTCTAACCCATCCTTAGGCGTCTCAAGACTCGTCAGCAGCAAGCAAGCAGCAGAGGGGCTGACAGGAGGGTGAGGTTGGAGAGGGTGAGGTTGGAGAGGGTTGAGAGCTCCTCTGGGATGGGTTGTGCGAGTGAGTCAAAGCCCATGTAGCTGCACGTTCGAACAGACACTTGACTTGAGGGGCCTCAAACTTCGACTCACAGGTAGGTGGGGTTGGACAGGGCTGAGAGCTCCTTTGGAATGGGTCCTGTGAGCGAGTGAAACACCTTCGTACAAGACGTCTCACGGCTTATCAGAAAGCTTATGAGGCGACTCACAAGAAGGTGAGGTTGGAGAGGGCTGAGAGCCGCTCAGGGATGGGCCCTGTGAGTGAGTGAAACGCCTCCTTATAAGTCGTCTCAAGACTCATCAGAACGCAAAGCGCTTAGGGTCTCACAGGAAGGTGAGGTTGGAGAGGGCTGAGAGCTCCTTTGAGATGGGCCTGTGAGAGAGTTAAAGCCCATGCCGCTGCACGCTTGAACAGACACTTGACTTGAGGGGTCTCAAACTTCGACTCACAGGAAGGTGAGGTTGGAGAGGGCTGAGAGCTCCTTTGAGATGGGCCTGTGAGAGAGTTAAAGCCCATGCCGCTGCACGCTTGAACAGACACTTGACTTGAGGGGTCTCAAACTTCGACTCACAGGTAGGTGAGGTTGGAGAGGGCTGAGAGCTCCTTTGAGATGGGCCTGTGAGAGAGTTAAAGCCCATGCCGCTGCACGCTTGAACAGACACTTGACTTGAGGGGTCTCAAACTTCGACTCACAGGAAGGTGAGGTTGGAGAGGGCTGAGAGCTCCTTTGAGATGGGCCTGTGAGAGAGTTAAAGCCCATGCCGCTGCACGCTTGAACAGACACTTGACTTGAGGGGTCTCAAACTTCGACTCACAGGTAGGTGAGGTTGGAGAGGGCTGAGAGCTCCTTTGAGATGGGCCTGTGAGAGAGTTAAAGCCCATGCCGCTGCACGCTTGAACAGACACTTGACTTGAGGGGTCTCAAACTTCGACTCACAGGAAGGTGAGGTTGGAGAGGGCTGAGAGCTCCTTTGAGATGGGCCTGTGAGAGAGTTAAAGCCCATGCCGCTGCACGCTTGAACAGACACTTGACTTGAGGGGTCTCAAACTTCGACTCACAGGTAGGTGAGGTTGGAGAGGGCTGAGAGCTCCTTTGAGATGGGCCTGTGAGAGAGTTAAAGCCCATGCCGCTGCACGCTTGAACAGACACTTGACTTGAGGGGTCTCAAACTTCGACTCACAGGTAGGTGAGGTTGGACAGGGCTGAGAGCTCCTTTGGGATGGGTCCTGTGAGAGAGAGAAACACCCTCGCCTCAAGACTCATCGGCAAGCAAGCGGCAGAGGGACTAACAGGTGAGTAAGGTTGGACGGGCGACTCACAGGTAGGTGAGGTTGGAGAGGGCTGAGAGCTCCTTTGGGATGGGCCCTGTGAGAGAGTTGTAACCCATGTCGCTGCACACACATGAGAGGCGGGGAGAGGAAAGGGGTGTATAGTGTCAGAACTGCATGCTAGCCGACCATGTCTTCCATTCCTCAATTTGCCTGTACCAACACCCGCATTAATACAAAGGACCGTTTGAGAGAGGAAAATAGAGCGTGGGGTTGACAAGTAAGATGTCTCAAACGTCTCCTCTGGGATGGGCCCTGTGAGTGTGTTGTATCCCATGTCGCTGCACAATGCAACGGCCACACGAGGGGCGAGGCGAATGAAGCAGGGAAAGGATCAATGAGATGCCTCGCAAGTGCCTTGTGTTGTGGGAATGGGATGAGCGCTGTGAGTGAGAGCTGTATAACAGCAAGTCCAGAGGCGTGAAAATGGAGGGAAAATGGAGCAGGGGGAAATGGAGCAGGGGAAAATGGAGCGGGGAGTTAGAAACGCGGGGCATTACGGTATATGAGAAACCACGATAATCCGAGGATTGTGAAAGACGGACGGACAGTTATGTTAGAAATAGTCAGTCAACACTTTGTACTATATTCTATATCGGTTAGGTTACTTTGTAGGTTGGGTGTAGATTTGTAATCCCAACCCTATCTGGTTGGGATTCCCTCGAAATCCTGCAAATCTGCCAACTCACCAATTGGAGATTTGCTAGGATTCCCATCCCATCCTTTCCCTAGCTTTGCTCAACCCAACCGTGTTTGTACTTAAGGCCTAGTGCCTTCTTTATCAATCAATCAGTTCAGTTCCAATTCTATCAAGTTATGCCTCTCACGGTCCTCCCATGCACTCTTAGTCGCTGCAAACCAACCAGCGCCGCCAGCTGCTTCCCCCTTCCATCCGTCCGCCCCCACTTCCCATTTCCCCCGTCCGACCCCTTCCCCTCTCATTTCCCCCCTTCCCCCTTCCCCCATGCACTCTTAGTCGTTGCAAACCAACCAGCGCGCCGCCAGCTGCTTCCCCCTTCTCCGTCCGCCCCCCTTCCCCTCGCCCTGCGTCCATCCCTTTCCCCTACCCCTTCCCCTTTTGCCCCCTCCTCTCATGCACTCACAGTCGTTGCACGCCATCCAGAGCATTCAGGACTGATCCCCTACCCATTTGCTTCCCTGGGATGGGCCCTTCCTCTATCCGCCCCCCCTTCCCCTCCCCACTTTCCGCCCCCTTTCCCTTCTCTGTCCCCCCTCCACTTCTCCCCCCTCCCCCCTCTCCCCTCTCCCCCCATGCACTCACAGTCGTTGAAAGCCAGCCACAGCCGCCACATGCTTCCCCCTTCCCTCCGTCCGCCCCCACTTCCCATTCCCCCCGACCGCCCCCTTCCCCTCCCATTTCCCCCGACCGCCCCCTTCCCCTCCCATTTTCCCCGACCGCCCCCTTTCCCTCCCATTTCTCCCCCTCCGCCCATGCACTCACAGTCGTTGAAGATCAGCCAGAGCAGCCAGCTGCTTCCCTGGGATGGGCGCTTTCAGCAGTTCAGTCGCAAAATTTCTGCACCGAGGGGCAGCGGGGGCATATGGGGGAGTGGGGGGAGTTGGTTGAGGGGGGGCATTTGGGGGAAATGGGGGCAACTGGAAGATCAGCCAGAGCCGCCAGTTGCTTCCCCGGGACGGGCCCTTTCAGCACCTCATTGGCCAGGTTGCTGCACAGAGGGGGGATGGGGCCAGTTGGGGGATGGGGGAAATTGGGGGTTGGGGGCAGTTGGGGGATGGTGGCAATTGAAAGGGCGGGAGATTCTGAGGCGCCTCAAAAGTGCTTCCCTTTCATGCTCACATGCTAATAACGCGCCCAGCATCTCACAGGCTTATAACGCGTCCAGCACTGTTGCATTTGAGGCGAAAGGTCCACGAAGGGTCGCAGGGATCCGCATTCACCCATCCGGGCAGCGCACCGGGATTGCTGCTTCTCAGCGCGTCCCTCAGCGCCAACAGCACAGCTTCTGCACAAGAGGAAGAAGAGGAAGAGAGAAGAGGCAGGCTTGGGGGGTGGGAAGAGGTGGGGTCACAGGGATCCGCATTCAACCATCCTGGCAGAGCAGCAAGATTGCTGCTTCTCAGCGCGTCCCTCAGCGCCAACCGCGGCCTCTGCACAGGAAGGAGAGGCGGGAGGGACAAGGCGGACGGGGAGAGGGGCGTCGCTTGCAGGGATCCGCATTCTTCCATCCAAGCAGCACTGTGGGGTTGCTACTACCTCTCAAGTGCATCCCCAGCGCCAACAGCGCGGCCTCTGAACAAGAAAAAGAGAAGGGGGGAACAGGGGGAGTGGGAAGAGGAGAGGGGGGGGGGGGGGGCGCAGGGATCCATGGCGTTCCCCCCCATCCCGGCAGTGCAGCGGGATTGCTGCCTCTCAGAGCATCCCTCAGCACCGACAGAGCAGCTTCTGAACAGGAAATAAAGGAGAACGGGAAAAGGGGTTTCAGGGATTCATGGCGTTCCCCCGTCCTAGCAGCGCAGCGGGATTGCTGCCTCTCAGAGCATCCCTGGGCTCTAACAGCACGGTTTCTGGACAGAAAGAAGAGGAGGGGAGAATGGTCCGAGAGGACGGGGGAAAGAGGGGGGTCGCTTGCAGGGATCCATGGCGTTCCCCCAATGTGAAGAGGTTTCAATGGCAACACAGCGGGATTGCTGTTCCTTAGTGCATCCCTCGGCGCCCTCCGAACGGTTGGTAACTTACTATCGGGGCTCGGCGGAGCAGCAGCCGCGGCGGCCGTCACGAGCAGCCTCGGGGTTGTCGCCGTGGCGGCGAGCGCGAGAGTGAGAGCGAGAGACAGCAGCGCGAAAGCATGCATCAGATTGCGGGTGACCATTGACGCGCCGCCGCGATTCGCGGCCATGGTGGGCAGCAATGGCGTTTCACGACAGAAGGCTTGGGCGAGCGATGGATGTTTACTGTCGTTTTCCGCGATTCTTTAGAAACAGTTTCACTTTGTCGACGTCTTTTTGTCTGGTGGATGTAATAAAACGAATCCGCGACTCGGGGTCGGCCAAACGGTGGGGAAATAGTGGACTTCTCAGAAAGGGGTCTTCGAGGCGATCTTGATCTCTCAGATTAAGGCAAAAATGGGTCACCGGAAACGCCGCGAAAAATGAGAATGCGATTGAAAATCGTTGCTTTGAGCGCAAGCGTGGCTCGGGGTAGAGTCTCCTCGCAAAAATGGTGGTAGTTTCGTCGGTCGGTGCGGTCGGTTAGTTGGTCAGTGATAAGTACCCCTACTCATTACGTAGCGCTACTGGTTGCGACTGTTAATCAGCTATCCTACATCGATCCGTTACTGAACACCGATAAGTTACTAGTTCTATGGATGGCCGCAACTGGACCGACTGTCCTTGCAGGACAGCAATAAAAACGCCTCCTTTTTTTTAGACTCCCTACAAAGACATTCTCCGTATTTAGGCCACTGGAAAAAAGACCGTACACTGTACAAGCAGTAGTCATTTAACGTGCATGCCTACACTGCCCTGCAACGCTTCACTTGGCCTGGCGTCGCGTCGCGTCGTAAGCCTGCGAATAACGTCCACAATTGCAGCCCCTGACTCTATACGTTATCAGCTGCAGCAATCTTGACACGAGCGGGGTGCAGCTTGCTTGAAGGAAGGATAAAGTAAGGATGCCGACAGTACGAAGCTGCGCATTCCGTTACAAGTAGCTAGGTTGCGTGTTCAAGCAGCCAGCAGCAATCATAACCTCAGCGTTTGAGTCTGGCTGACTTCAGTAGGGAGAAAACCAGATTAGGAGGAAAGCCAGGAAAATCGGTCAGACTCGGTAATTGGGTAGCTAGCTCGGTGCGGGGTAGCGAACATCGTTCGAGCAGGGTGAGGGTATCACCGAAGTAAAGTTTCGCGCCGAGTTATGCTGTCAGGAACTTGCGTTTGACAGTTTCGTGGTCAGTCGATTCTGAGTGAATCTCCTTCGGTCAATGGCTGATGATATACGCGCTAAGAAACCAGGGCAAGTCGTAGTGGAGCTTCAAAAATAGAAGTATGATTATGATTCATAATAGCACCTTGAAGCCAAAATATATTACACAAAAGTCACTGTAGCAGTCGACGCTCTCAAGAATGTAATACATGTATCTCCATCTTGCATATGCCTCATCACCTTTCTAAATGCCTCGTCATACGTGCAAAACTCAACCAAAAAAAAAAAAAAAAAAAAAAAATGTGTGGATGGGAATGTCCCCCCACACTTGCTCTCTCCCCGTCCTAGTTTCGTCTTGAGGGTGTGTCATTAGCAGGGGCAGAGGCGTTGGCTCTTTGGTTGAAAGTGGGGAGGCCTCCATTCAGTCTGGAGACGTGTCGATTCCTCCCCCCTGCCGGTCTTTGCTCCAGTTGCTGGCCATGAGATGACATGGGATGGGCATGGGACGGCAAGGAAATGGTGGCATGGGATGAGGGCATGGTGTCTTAGCAGCAGCAGCGTTGCCGCTTTGGTTGAAAGTGGGTGAGGCCTCAAGTCGGTCTGAAGATGCTTTCATTTTCTAGCTGAGGTCGCTATCCCTACCCTAGTGTGTTCGCTAGTGCTCTACATGCACTCGGTGAATCACGCTAGTCGACTAACTCGACTCTCCGGTAATAAAAGTAGTGTTTTGAGACGTCTCAAAACACTACTTCTATCACGTGGTCTGGAGATTCTTTCATTTTCTAGCTGAGGTCTCTATCCCTAGAGTTTTCACTAGTGTTTTCTAGCTGAGCAGTGAGCACGCTCTACCTGCTCTACATACACTCCGTGAATCCCGCTAGGGCTCTGTCCCTACCCTAGTGGACAGTAGCAAACGATACATGCAAATGCAGCCTCAGGTCTACCAAAACCAAGCCAACATTCGCAAACCAGACTTTGAACACACGGGCACATATAAACCCAGGTAGGATTATAGACACGCCAACAGAATTCCTTAGGGTTTAGGGTTGGCTACAATGCTCTTCCTAGCTGCTACAGCAAGAGCACGCATGGTGTATGACTAGCTTGAACAGCATGGACATTTTAGCACTGCCCGGTTAGTTCCAGTAAGATCACTACTGCTGCAGCAGGCAAACATGGTTACCACTGTAACACAAGCAGCACAGCAGCAAAGCACAAAGCAACGCATGCATAATTAGCATTAATTTACTTTGAGCCGGTGGACTCACTGTTGCTGCTGCAGCAGGAGCACGCGGTTACCATGGTAACGCAAGCAGCACAACAGCAAAGCATGCAGCCACAGCTGTGTAAATAGCTTGAATGCATCCCTTGCTTGAAGCCGGTTTGTTAGACCCTGGTGAAGTTCCCTGCTGCTGCAGCGGTGGCTGCTGCTGCTGCTGCTGCTGTGGTTGAGAAGTAGGTACTGGTGCTGATGTGGACGGTGCTGATGTTGACGGTGCTGACGTGGACGGTGCTGATGTGGACGGTGCTGATGTTGACGGTGCTGATGTGGACGGTGGTGATGTGGACGGTGCTGATGTGGACGGTGCTGATGTGGACGGTGCTGATGTGGACGGTGCTGATGTGGACGGTGGTGATGTGGACGGAGGAGTGGGGCCAGGAAGGGAAGCGGGGGCGGGGGAGGGCGAAGATGAGGGATCAGGGGAAGAGGCCGAGGCAGGGGGAGAGGCAGGAGAAGAGGAGGAGGCAAGAGCAGGGCTGCTTGATGGGGGAGCAGCCGAGGGGGGAGCAGAGGAGGGGGCAGCAGAGGGGGCAGAGGAGGGGCCAGCGCGAGGAGAAGAGGGGGGCGAAGAGGAGTGAGAAGAAGAGGGAGCAGAGAGTTGGGCAGAGGGAGGAGCAGAGGGATGAGCAGAGGGAGAAGAAGAGGGAGCAGAGGAGGGGGGAGAGGAGGGATAAGAAGAGAGAGTAGCAGCAAGGGAGGAGGTTCTGGCAGGGCAGGTCTGGTTGGGTGCATGGTCGAGGCAGTTACCGGCATACCTGCATGGGAGGATGGAATCATGGGCACAGAAGAGCACAGAGGGATGCGGAAAGGGAGGAGGCGTTGGTGGGGCAGGTCTGGTTGGGTGCATGGTCGAGGCAGTTACCCGCATAGCTGCGTGGAGGGATTAGGGTTCACGCATAAGTGCCAGTGCTTGCTTGGAAGTGCTCGCATAACCCGCAAAGGTTACCTGGGCGCCTAAAGGTGAACCTGGTCACATTTGAGAATTCTAAGATTTGACTCCAACTTGTGCGCCTAAAGGTGAGCCCCGTCACGAGAGGGAAACTCACACGAAGCGGAGATTGGATTGCTTCGGGATGGGAGGGAGTGAGCCCGTGAGGTGGTTGCGAGATACGTCGCTAGTGCAGTGCATGTGGGGAACAGGTAGTGGGGAGACAGGAGAGGGGAGAGGGGAGACGGGAAATGGGAGAGGGAAGAGAACAAAAATCTCTCATATAACGTCTTAACAGGGGAGACAGAAGGCAGTGAGGCAGGATGGGAGGCAGTGGGCCCGTGAGGTGATTGTGGGATACGTCGCTGTTGCAGTGGGTGGGACGGGACGGGAAGGGGGTGTAAGAACTTGAGCTTAAAGTGATACAGTAGCAATGATACAGGTCGATACAGGTTGACTGATAAAAAGCTGTGCCGGGGTGATGTGACTGATAAAAAGACTGTCACTGATAGCCCAGGTTGATACAGGTGGTCGACTGCAGGTCTACCGTTCACTCACAGCAGTTTCAGGTGCGGCAGGGCAGTCAGACAAACCGGAATCGATCCATTGAGCTCATTGCGAGCCACGTTGATCTCGTAGATATTGGCCAGGCGGCACAACTGTGCTGGGATGCTGTGACTGTGAAAAAGGCTGTCACTGATAGCCCAGGTTGATACAGGTGGTCGACTGCAGGTCTACCGTTCACTCACATCAGTTTCAGGTGCGGAAGGGCAGTCAGACAAACCGGAATCGATCCATTGAGCTCATTGCGAGCCACGTTGATCTCGTAGATATTGGCCAGGCGGCACAACTGTGCTGGGATGCTGTGACTGTGAAAAAGGCTGTCACTGATAGCCCAGGTTGATACAGGTGGTCGACTGCAGGTCTACCGTTCACTCACAGCAGTTTCAGGTGCGGAAGGGCAGTCAGACAGGTCGGGATCGACCCATTGAGAGGCACGTTGACCTCGTAGATGTTGGCCAGGCGGCACAGCTGTGCCTTGATTCTCTCTGACAGACTCTCACTTACAGCAGTTTCAGACGCGGCAGGGCAGTCAGGCAAGTTGGGATCGTCCCATTCAGCCCGTTGCGAGCCACGCTGAGCTCGTAGCTGTTAGACAGGCGGCACAGCTGGGCCGGAATTCTCCCGGTGAGGCGGTTGCGGCTGAGATAGAGCTTGTTGAGCGACTCTAGACCGCCGAGAGTTGCTGGGATGCGGCCGGAGAGGCGGTTGGAGGAGAGGAAGATTTCCACGAGGAGGCTGAGGGCGCCTAGGGAGGAGGGGATGGGGCCTGTCAGGCTGCAATGCTCTATGGCCCTGAAACGGGAGGAGGGGGGATGGCGGGAACAGGCAAAGGGAGGGCGGTTGGCTGAGAGATGAATATCTCCACGAGAAGGCTGCACGCGTATATATGCTATAGGCGTATATACGAGATGGATTGGACGCTATAAGCGTATAATCCATCATAGGCGGGCACCTATGGACGGAGGAATGGGGCCCGTGAGATGGCAATGCTTCAATGCTGTGATAGGAGGCGGGATGGCGGGAACAGGGGGAAAGAATGCAAGGGACATCAAGTGGGAGGCGGTTGGAGGAGAGAAAGAGGTCCACGAGGAGGCTGAGGCCGCCTAGAGACGGGCGAGTGGGGCCTGAGAGGTTGCAGTGCTCCATGACCCTGACAGGGAGCAAAGGGAGCGAAACAGTTGGGGGGAGGGGAATGGCAGGCAAGAGGATATGGTGGCGGGGAGATAGAGCTCAAGGAGGTTGAAGGAGAAGAGACGGAGGGATGGGGCAAGAGGGGTAAGAGGCGGAAAAACAGGATCCCGAAATATACGCCTAGGGCTGCAAGTCCTCCCAACTGTTTCGTACCCACAGGCAAGTTCAGTTCCCAACCCTTCCAATCTCACAGGGACTCGAGCAGCCAGAGGTTTCCAATGAAGGCTGGGATGGATCCGTTGATGCGCTTGTTGTAACTCAGGTCCCTGCAGGTGCGAGGTCCAGAGAGGGAGGGGGAAGAGGGGATGAGGGGTTGTAATAAGCTCAGGGCGGCTATAATCCAAGGCTTAGAGTTTATGGTTTAGCGGAAGCCGACCCACTCACAGGTACATGAGCAGGAGGCTGTGTTTGAGGCGTTTGAAGCTGTGGAGTTGACAACGAGTGCTGTGGTGTGCTGTGGCAGATGAGCGAACAACACTCACAGGTACATGAGGTGGAGGCTGTGTTTGAGGCGTTTGAACGTGGCAGGGATGGGGCCTTCCAGGGAGTTGACTGCGAGTGCTGTGGTGTGCTGTTGGTACATCAGGTACAAGGACGTAGATGAGCGAACAACACTCACTCACAGGTACATGAGGCTGTTCAGGCGCTTGAAGGTGGCAGGGATGGGGCCTTCCAGGGAGTTACTTGCAAGATAGCTGCGGGTGCGAGAGAGCGTGGGGTAGATCATGGGATGAGAGAGCACGCGCGAGAGAAATGAGACGGGGGAGTGAGAGGTAAAACAGGAGGAGAGAGGGCCATTAAAGCTGGCAAGGAAGGGCTCTTCCCTTCCTGGAAGTTGCTTACGAGTAAAGGCAGAGGCACAGTGAGGCAAATAGCAGCATTGCCCTAAACCCAGGAGTAGACGCCAACAGCATTGTCTTGTTTTTAGTCGGCTCAAAAGGCATCTTGTCTTCCCGAGTCAACTAAAACGACGGTTCTTGAGCAGACTCAGGAATGAGGCCCTTTAAGGAGCTGCTCGTGTCGTGAGTAGCGGCTTCTTTTGAGGCAATTAAGGAAGTGCTTGCTGCCCTCAAAAGTCATCTCTTTTTTTAGACGACTATGAAGAAGTGTTTTGAGACGTCTCAAAACACTTCTTCATTCTTTTGAGGCAATTAAGGAAGTGCTTGCTATAGAAGCTTGTTAGGCGAGCTAAAGATTTCTTCTAGACTGCAGCTCGCCTAACAAGCTTTGAGGCAATTAAGGAAGTTCTTGCTGCCCTCAAAAGTCATCTCTTTTTGAGACGACTCAAGAATCACCTCAAAACTGCTTGCCCTTGAAACTGCTTGCCTTCGAAACTTCTTGCTCTCAAGAGTGCTTGACCTATAAGTCATCCCTTCACGCAGAGAGGAGCGAAGAAAACAGCACTACCACCACTGCCCTAAACCGAAGCGGAGGTGCTAACGGCATTGTCCTATACCCGAAACCAGCAGCCCAAACCCCCACAAAAAACCCGTAAAACCCTGAAACCCGAAACCATGAACCCTACAGTGCGTCGAGACTGGGAAGGCTTCCGAGTGCTGGGGGGAGGGGACCCGAGAGGCGATTGTCGTCTATTGCTCTGTGGGGTGGGGAGGTGTGGAGAGATGGGATGGGGTGGGGGAGAGCAAGGAGATGTGACTGTCGTCTAGTGTGCTGTGGGGGGAGAGGGATGCAATGGGAGTGTTTTTTGAGGCGCCTCCAAGAGGGTTTTTTTTGGGGCGCCTCAAAAAACACCTCAATGCAGAGGGATGAAATAGGATTCAGCAGAGAGTGTGGTGTGACTGTCTGGCATTGACTCGCGTTGACTTGCGTTGACTCTCGTTGACTGACATTGACTCTCATTGACTCGCATTGACTGGCATTCATTCACGCACCAGACAGGTTTATCACTCATCGCACTCACATTGATTCCAGGGCAGAGGCACCGGCCAGGCTGGGGGGAATACGGCCGGACAGGCGGTTGGAGTAGAGCTCACTGCGGGAGGGGGAGGTGGGGAGAGGGGAGTAGGGGAGAGGAGAGGAGAGGAGAGGAGAGGAGAGGAGAGGAGAGGAGAGGAGAGGAGAGGAGAGGAGAGGAGAGGAGGGGAAAGGAGAGGGGAGAAAAGGAGAGGAGAGGAGATTCAAAACTGGTGGTGAGTAATCGCTCTGTGAAACGGAGAGGAGAAAAGGAGAGGAGGGAACTCTCCCTCGTTAGACGGGGAGTTGCCTCAAGCGTCTGAGAGTGCTTCAAGCATGATGGGGAGTGCTAAACGTCATGCTTGAAGCACTCTCAGACGCTTGAGGCAACTTCCAAGCCATTCTGGATTTAACACGTCTAAAATCGCATTGGTTCTAACTAAGCATCATGCTTACAGCACTCTAAGCTGCTTGAGGCTTCCAAGCCACCCTGGGACCGGTCCTGAAAGCGCATTGGCTGCAACGGACCTAGTGACAGGGAGGATGGGCGGGAGGGAGGGGGGGGTAGGGAGAGGGGGAAGGGAGAGGGGGGAGGGAGAGGGGGGAGGGAGAGGGGAAAGGGAGAGGGGGGAGGGAGAGGGGGGAGGGAGAGGGGGGAGGGAGAGGGGGGAGGGAGAGGGGGGAGGGAGATGGATGGTGGACGGGACGAGGGGGATCCCGAGCCACTCTAGAACCGTTCCTGAGAGCTCATTGGCTGGGATGGATCTGGTGATAGGGGAAGGAGGGGAGGGAGGAGGAGGAGGGAAGGGAGGAGGGGAGGGAGGAGGAGGAGGAGGGAGGGGAAGGAGGGGAGGGAGGAGGAGGAGGGAGGGGAAGGAGGGGAGGGAGGAGGAGGAGGGAGGGGAAGGAGGGGAGGGAGGAGGAGGAGGGAGGGGAAGGAGGGGGAGCGATTTGTGCTCTGAAAGCAAGGCACGAGGGAGCAGTGTATGTGAGCTGATTGGCTGGGATGGATCTGGTGAAAGGGAAAGAGGAGGGGAGGGAGGGGGATGTGAGCAATGTAAGGAGTGTGAAACATGAGAGATGTGAGCAGCGTGAGCAATGTGTGCAATGAGTGCACGGTGAGCAATGTGTGCTAGGAAATAAGGCGTGAGGGAGCAGTGTGTGTGAGAAAGGAGAGCAGCAGTGAGAGGAAGGAAAAGGGTCGTGAGACATTGTAAGTCACCTCAATAACGATGTGACTTTTGAGTCGACTCAAAAGTCACCTCGAAGCAAGCAGAGCAGCAGTGAGAGGAAGGAAGCAACTTACAATACAAGTGCTGCAAGGGCCAGCAGTGCATGGTGCATGGCGCGATGGCTGCGGTGTATGAAATGTATGCGGGGGGGTGGCATAAGGGAGCAGTTCTATTGTGAGCAACTCACAACTGCTGCAAGCAAGATACGGCTTTTGAGTCGACTCAGAAACGAGGGAGCAGTTCTATTATGACGTGGGCAGCTCACAACTGCTGCAAGAGACGGCAGTGCTGGAGGCTGGACGGCAGCTGCCCTGAGATTCGGTTGCTGCCGAGGTCACTGGGAGGGGAGGCATGGTGGGTAAGGCAAGGGGGAAGACGAGGGAGGGACATGGCAACGAGTGCTCTAAAAGGCGGCAGTGCTGAAGGGTGGACGGCAGCTGCCCTGAGAGGTGGTTGCTGGCAAGGTCACTGGGAAGGGGGAGAATGGAGTGAGGCAGAAAAGAAGGCGTGGAGTGAGGCGAGAAAAAAGGCATGGAGTGAGGTGGAGTGTGCTGGAGTGTCAGAGAGACATGGCAACGAGTGCTCATATAGTATTGCATACCCACCTAGCCCCCCTAAAAAAAAACGAGAACGAGAACGAGAACGAGGACGAGGACGAGGACGAGGAGGAAAACAACAACAACAACTCACAGCGACTGCAAGTTCTTGAATCCCCCAAGGGTGCTTGGCAGAGTGCCACTGAGAAGGTTGTTGGCGAGACGGCTGAACACATGAGAAGAGAGTGGCGTGTGGAGGCATGAGGAGAGAAAGCGACGTGCGGAGGCACAAGGAGAAAGAGAGACGTGTGGAGTGGAGGCATGAGGAGTGTCAGTCAATCAACTAGGAAAACAAGGAGCGGCCCAAATTCGTCTCTGTACCCGCAAAGCAATTCAAACAAATCAATACAGCCTTCACGCTGAATTACAGTAAGAGAACTTACACGTTCACTAGCTTTAAGAGTCGCGATCCCAGCCACTCGGGAACTGGGCCCTTCAATTGATTGCCCTCTAACGATCTGAAGGGGATGGAGGGAGGGAGGGAGGGAGGGAAGGAGGAAGTGAGGGAGAGAGGGAATTTTGGAACGCTCACTAGCTCACTGGCTTCAAGATTCGCAATCCCAGCCACTCGAGAACTGACCCCTTCAATTGTTGCCCTCTAAAGATCTGATCTGAAGGGGATGGATGGACGGAGGGAGGGAGAAAGGAAGTGGGGAAAAGAAAATGGGAAAGGGGAAGGTAACTAGCGAGTAAGCTGTCTGAATGAATGACTCGGAACTCTCTCTTTTAAGACGTCTCAACGCTCGTCGGCAAGCAAGCTGCAGAGTGGCTCATAAGTGGTTCAGGTTGGAAGGGCGGACAGCTTTTGAGGTTGGAGGTGCCGCACCGTACAGGTGGGTGTCATGTCGACTCACAACAACTAGGTGAGGTTGAAAGGGTGGACGGCAACGTTTGGCGCGACTCACAGGACAGTGAGGTTGGAGAGGGCTGAGAGCTCCTTTGGGATGGGCCCTGTCAGTGCGTTGTATCCCATGCCTCTGCACATTGCAACAGCCACATGCATGTGGGGCGGGGCGGAGAGGATAAAGCAGGGAATGTATTAACGAGACGCCTCACAAGTCTTATCACCAGGTGAAAAACGCTGTGAAACGGGCGTGAGTTGTATTCCCTCTCGCAGCAAGTTCATAGAATATGTGAAATTAAGGAAAAAGGGAGTGGGGACGGAGGGGACTAGGACAGGTGGAAAATACGAGACACAGGGAAGTCATAAAATGATGGGAGCGGAAATTAAGATGGGGAACCCTTAGCTCCCACGTGGCACTTTAGCTCCCACGTGGCCCCTTAGCTCCCACGTGGCCCCTTAGCTCCCACGTGGTCCCTTAGCTCCCTTGCGGTATCGGAAGTGGCCAAGTGAACTTCCCCCTTCCCCCGTCCCCCTTCCCCCGTCCCCCTTCCCCCGTCCCCATTGCCCTTCCCCCTCGCCCCATCCCTTTCGTCCCCTTCCCCCATGCACTCACAGTCGTTGCAGACCAGCCAGAGCCGCCAGCTGCTTCCCTGAAATGGGCCCCATTTACGCCCCCACATTTCCCGTCTGCACCCTTGTCCTCCCCTCCCCTCTCCCCCTTCCCCTTCCCCCATGCACTCACAGGCGTTGCAGACCAGCCAGAGCCGCCAGCTGCTTCCCTGGGATGGGCCCTTTCAGCAACTCGTTCGCCAGGTTGCTGCGCAGAGGGGCAGTGGGGGCAATTGGGGGGCGGAGGGAGCGGAGGGAGTGGAGAGAGCGGGGGGAATAGGGGGAAAGGGAGACAGGAAGGGGGAGCAACCCCGGAGCAGGGAGAGGAGGGAAAGGGACTCACTCAAACGAAATCGCCCCCTTGAAAAGCACGCTCGCAGAAAATGGAGCCGGGGGGAGGGTGGGAACGGGGAGAGAAGAGGGGGAGTGGGAAGGGATGCGAAAGGGTGGAAGGGGTTCCATGCAGCCAGTCTCACATGCTTATAACGAGTCCAGCATCTTCGAATCATCTAAGTAAGTAACAGACCCATCTCACGTGCTTACAACGCGCCCAGCACTCACAGGCTTATAACGCGTCCAGCACTGTTGCATTTGAGGCGAGGCGACCACAAAGAGGGATCACAGGGATTCATGGCGTTCCCCCATTCCGGCAGCGCAGCGGGGTTGCTGCGTCTCAACGCATCCCTCAGCGCCAACAGCGCGGCTTCTGCACAAGAGGAAGAAGAGGAGGGGGGGACAAGGCGGACGGGGAGGGAGACGTAGATTGCAGGGATCCGCATTTACCCAACCTGGCAGCACAGTAGGATTGCAGCCTCTCCTCGCGTCCCTCGGCGCCAACAGCGCGGCCTCTGCACCGGGAGACGTGGCGGCGGGGACAGAGGGGGCGGGAAGAGGAGCAGGTCGCAGGGATGGGATCCATGGCGTTCCCCCAACCTGGCAGTACAAAGAAGTTGCTGTTTCTCGCTGCATCTTTGAGTGCCTCCGAGCGTTAAGTAACTCACTATCGGGGCTGGGCGGAGCAGCGGCGGCCGCGACGAGCAGCCTCGGAGTTGTCGTCGTGGCGGCGAGCGCGAGAGACAGCAGCGCGACAGCATGCATCAGCTTGCGGGTGACAATTGACGCGCCGCCGCGATTCGCGGCCATGGCCGGCAGCAATGGCTTTCACGACTGAAGGCTTCGGCGGGCGGGGATGGATGTGCACTGTCGTTTTCCGCAATGGAGGCCCTGATTCTCTAAAAAGGGTCACTTCGAGGACGTCTCTTCGAGCAGAAGTATTGTATGGAAGGTGGATGCAATAAAAACGATTCCGCGCCTCGGGGTCGGCCAAATGGTGGGGAAATAGTGGACGTCTTAGATTTTATTTCCTAAGGCAATCTTAATCTCTGCGTCAGAGAAATGGCCCCGGAAGCGGAGCGAGAACCGGCACAATGGAGGAAAAGTCGTCTGCGGAAAATGGGTGGCTCGAGGTAGAGTCTCCTCGCAAAGTGCTTGTACTGTAGTTTCGTCGGTTGGTCGGTCGGTTAGTTGGTCAGTGATAACAGTACCCCTGCGTATTAAGGTAACGTTACTGGTAGCGACTGCTAATCAGCTATCGTGCATCGATCCGTTACTGAACACCGATAAGCTATTAATATGGATGGCCACGACTGGACCGATTGTACATACGACGCTAGAGGATATGTACTAGGTTCGATCTTGACTTCCGTTTAAATTGACTCTGAGGTAATAAGGATCGCGACATAAGTTATACAGGTAGCGGTTACAGGCCGCGAGGTTGCGTGTTTGAGCAGCCAGGAAATAGCCCTGCTGTCTTTAGTGAGGTAGCAAACTGGATTAGGAGGAAAGCCGGGAAAGTCGGTCAGACTCGGTAGTCGGGAAACGAGCTCGGTTCAAGAAGGTTGCAAAATGGAGGTGGCAATCACCACCGTATTCGACCGAGCGAAAAAACCTCGCCGAGTCATGCTGACAGATGGCGGTGTGCGGATTGAGAGTCTCCTCAAGGTCAGAAGATTCGGACTGAATCTCCTTCGGTCAATTGCAGCTGACATACGCGCTAGGAAATGCTTCTGCACCATCACAATGAAATAAATGCAGTGGGTGAGAAAAGGCTGTTGAGCAACACTGTAGAATCACATGTAGCATTACACAGTAGCCTCCACCTTGCAGTCTTCAAGGAACTAGGAAATGTGCGTCCAATATTTCATCTTGAATATGCTTCTTAAAACCAGGGTGCACATTCAACGCGGTTCGGCTTGAGATGTTGGGAAGGGGGTTTGGAGAAAAACAGTGATTGGCTCACGAGGGGCGACAAAAAAATGATTCCGCTAGAGCTTCGGGCATTTCGTAGGTGGCGGGAGGGGGTGAAATGGCGGGAGTGGGTGAAACCGAATGGCGGGAGGGATGAAACAGATTGGCGGGAGGGGGGGGAAACGAAATTGCGGGGGAGGGGGGAAACAAAATTGCGGGGGAGGGGGGAAACGAATTTCGACGGGGAGGGGGAAATGAAATTGCGGGGGCGTGGGGAAACGAAATTGCGGGGGAGTGGGGAAACGAATTTCGACTTGAAGGGGTTGAAAGCACACCTCGTAACCCACTCAGTCAAGGGATAACCTTTGATGCACATTCAGCTGAATGTGCACCCCGGTTTTAAACAAATGGTCTGTACTTCTGGGTGCACGGAGCACGGATGGAAATTGGGTATGGATGGGGACAAGCCTACCTACTTTGTATAGCCAAGCCTGACCCTTTGCTCTCCCCAGCGAAAAAAATAGCATGTCAAGACAGAATTGAACACGTCTTGCATGTGCATTCACAGACTCGAATCGTAGTCATGTGAATCCATGTAACAGAAATTGGATGGATATGTTATGTGGGTGGGTTGGGTGGGTAACTCCGTAACCATGACAAGGCGGCCTCCTCTTTCGAGCCTAACCTGACCGCTTTGCTCTCATCAGCACAGCCACCCCCACCCCAACGGCACAGGCAGCAATAGCTGGCAGTGCAACAGCTGCCGCTGCTCGAGCGAAGGACCAATCAGAGGCGGAGGAAGAAGAGAGCGAGTAGTGGGAGTGGCGGGGGTGGGAGGAGCGGAGGCGAGCAGAGGAGGGGACGTCTGACTCTAATGAATCGCGAAGCAAGCGACTCAACGAATCGAGCTGGGATTAGGATTGGTTGGAAGAGAGGGGGGGAGGGAACAGAGAAGAGGGGCAGGAATTTAGGGAAAGGGGGAGGATGGAGGAGGGAAGGGTGGGGGGGGGGGGGGAAAGGGACGAAGACATTCGAGCACAGGAATTTGAGTAGGTAAGGTCCGAGTGGGAGTAAACCGAACAATCTAATGGCAATGCAGGGGAACAGAACACAAACAAAAACAAACAAACAACCAGACCGTGCCACCTGAAATCCCTGAACCCATGACATCAGATCAGACCGAACCAAGGCTTGACCCCTCACCTCAGATGCGAGCCTTCTTTGGTTGCTGGCTATCTCCTTCACCTCTACCACCAGCGCTGCTGCTGATCCTGGTGCTGCTGCCCCTCGCCCCTCTGCACCGCTCCCAACCCCATTCACCACATTCACATCGTAACACTGACTGTTACCACTCGCACCCACCGCACCACCATTCATCATGCCAATCACACCACCCCCTGCAGCAGCAGCAGCAGTAGACACAGGAGTGAGCCTGCCACCCCCACCACTCCCACCCTTACCACCACTCCCTCCGCCACTCCCCCCACCACCCCCTCCTCCATTCCTCCTCTCCCCCCCATTCCCTGTCCCTATATCGATCGGCCCTGCCAGCTCGCCTCTACTCCCACTCCTCCCTCCCAGCATCCCATTCCCCCCCGAAACCAGCTGGCTGGTCAACGCTGACGTGGCAGGACTCAATTGGATGTTGCTGCTGCCACCATTCACTGACGCACCCCCATTTCCACTCCCAGACCCCGCCGGTCCGGCCGAAGCAAGATCTAATCTTGAAAGCAGCTCGTCCAATCGGTCGGTGACAAGTGTCAGCTGCTCAGAAATCGGCTCCTGGGATTGGACCAGGGACGTCACTCTCCCTGCTTCCCCCGATCCTCCCTCCTCCACCCCCTCCTCCTCCCCAACCCCTACATGACCCATATTCCGACTCCTGCTGCCGCTGCCATTGCCGCCCCCTCCTCTCCTGCTGCTCCCCCCGTCTCCCGTACTATCCACATGCCTCCCCACCCCACCCGCTCCCTCCCCGTCCCCTTCCCGCCTGTGTCGCCTTGAGGGTGTGTCATTAGCAGAGGTAGTGGGGGAGGCCTCGAGTCGGTCTGGAGAGGCGTTGATTCGCCCGCCCTGGCGGTCCTTGCTCCAGTTGCTGGCCATGGGTTGGCATGGGATGTGGGGAAATGTTGGGTGCTCTGAGTGAAAGTTCAAAGTGGGTAAGGCCTCGAGTTTGTCTGGTGACGCGTTGATTCTCCTGCCCTGGCGGTCCTTGCTCCAGTTGCTGGGGTGGGGACGGGATGCCATGGAATGAGAGGGAAGGTGCGTGCTGAGGGACACTATAGGGAGAACAAGAACTCATGACCAGTCAGTGTGTGACAGGAGGAGGGGACAAGAGGGGGAGCGAGGGAGGAGGAGAAACAGAACAGCACAGGTTATGAAGACCGTTCAACGAGGAGGAGAGCAAAAAATGGAAACTCACGATTGGCCAAACTTGTGGCCGAGAGTCCAGACTCCAGGACAAAGAAACAAGAGGCAGGGTCAGGGAGGAGGAGAGGGGCACCGCCCATGGGGCTCCCAGAAGGCAGCAGGTGATCCGCCACTCGGAACCGCTCCTTGAGCACACTCTCTGCTTATACTCTCTGCTGACAGTCTAGGGAGAGCGAGAAAGAGAACTCACGACTGGTCGAACTTGTGGCCGAGGGTCCAGGACGACGAGACAAGAGGAGGGGTGAGGGAGGAGGAGAGCGGGGCACCACCCATGGGACTCCCAGACGGCAGCAGGTGATCGGCCACTCGGAACCGCTCCTTGAGCACACTCTCTGCTGACAGCGCCTGTACTTCTTCTGTGAGGTTGTGCAGCTGGATCTCCTCGATGTACAGTCGCGGGCTGTACCGCCCCTCCATGCCCAGCTGTGATGCTATCTCTCGGACCTTCTTGCGGTCCTTGCCTTGCACCTGATGGGGGGGGGTAAAGGGACGGAGGGCAGGAGTGGGATGTGGTGGGAAGTGGTGGAGAGTGGTGGGGACTGGTGGGTTGTGCAGCTGAATCTCCTCGATATACAGCCGCGGGCTGTACCTCCCCTCCATGCCCAGCTGGCCCGCTATCTCCCTCACTCGCTTGCGATCCTTTCCTTGCACCTGCAGTGGGATGAGAGGACGGAATGCAAAGGGAGGAGGAGGGAGGGGAGGGGGGCCACATGCAAACCATAAAAAATGCTGCTGATTCAAATGCTCCTCGCTTTACACATACTGTAACCACAGGCTGTTTTAGCAGCCCCTGTCAACGTCAAACACACCCCTTGCTCCCTCACCTGCTTGCGATCCCCTCCCCCTCGCCCGCTACACGCCCCTCGCCCCCTCACCTGCATGAAGGTCTTCTTGATTTGCTCCAAGCGGTCGACTTTCACGACCACGTGCTGCTGCTTGTCTCGAAACACACGCGACTCCCTCCTGAGGATGTGTGCCATCTCGTAGCCCAGCGCCATGAGGCCCCCCAGCAGCCGCACACTCACTTCAAAGGTGATGCGCGGAGTTATGACGAACGGGCCGTCTGTCACGCATTCCTGGTAAGAGAGGGTTGTGAGGGGGAGAGGGGTGGGAGTCAGGTGAAGGGGTGAGCAGCCGCACACTCACTTCAAAGGTGATGCGCGGGGTTATCACAAAGGGACCGTCTGTCACGGACTCCTGGGGAGGGTTTCGGGTTTGCGGGGCAGGGATGGAGGGAGGGAGGGAGGGAGGGAGGGAGGGAGGGAGGGAGGGAGGGAGGGAGGGAGGGAAGAAGGGAATAGACGTTGGAGTAAGGGGTAATGAAGTGGCCCTGCCATTTTCCCTTGGCAAGACCCCTACCTTTAGCCCATCACCACCACTCCAGACCAGAGCACGCACCTCAAACATGAGGGAGTAACGGCCATCTCGGTTGCGCATTCGCAGGTACGACTGGCAAGTCTCCTTGT